TATTCAATAATAATAATAATAATAATAATAATAATAATAATAATAATAATAATATTTTTCCTTTAAAATGAAATTCTTTCTTACAATGTTAAGAATTTCAAGTCTCAGGCTCCCCTTTTACCAAGTTGTATTAATTTGATTGTGCTCTGTTGTATATGTCAGTTTGCTCTTGATAACAGCAGAAACAAGACATGAATACCCAGGTTCACAAGCCTTAACACAGATTGGTTAACCTCAGAGTAGTGAAAAGGTGGTTAAATATCACAGAGTTAAATATTGGCATTTTCTTTCTCTGACCAGTTCGCACCTTCCACATATTATACAGGTAATGGTAGAACTTTCTCAAGTAACAGAAAGGTAATGCTTCTCACTAAGATGAAAAACCGAAAGGTTAGGTCAAACTTTTAAGGAAGTCTCAGAATGGCATTGTTTAATGAAGCTCTTTGGAAAAAACCAGAATCCCAGACCCAGTGCCACCAAGTGGGTTCTGACTCAGCAACCCTGTAGGATAGAGTGAATGGGCCAGAGAGTTTCCAAGACTGGAAATCTTCACAGAAGCAGATGGCCTCATCTTTCTCTTGAGCAGTGACTGGTGGGTTCAAACCTCAGATCGTATAGCTAGCAGCTGAATACCTGAATCACTACACTAGCTAATGCTTCTGGTGGAGAAAGTTATACATTATTCCAATTACAGACAAGACAACAACCAACTTGAGAGAACAGAGTTTTTAATCTTAATAAAGCAGAATAATGAAAAGAGTAACTGACAGTTTGATCCACATCTGTGATTTAAAATGCAGAACCTTGGCAAACACTGTGAAAGCAAAGTTCAGTAGGATTGCATAGTTTCTCTGGGTCACACAAGTTTCCCACCTTTGACAAGGTGTGGCCTTAACTCTTTCTCTCTTGTGTCATTCTCTATTTAGTAGGAAATATTGGAGTTTTCTTTCTCTGACCAGTTCCCACATTATACATATTCTGACTTTCACAGTTTTTACTGTATAAAACAAAGTAAAGTTGGGTATTAACAGTCTAAATGGAGTAAGTTAAGCTGCATTTATAAAGTGAGCATTTCTGAAGTCATGACTTTTCAATAAAATATTAATACTGATAAACCTTTATTGGTAGGCACCTGGGGTCAGACATGGTTCTTGATGCAAGGACCATGGATAAAGATCAAGTCTCTAGAGGTTCTTTGTTACACTGAATTTGGAATTATATAGAGTGATAAATCACAATTAAAACCCATGTGTGTTAAATAATTTTGACATAAAATATGTCATTCAAAATTTGCTATTTCAATTAGTCTTCAATGTATAGTTCAGTAATATGAATTATAGGCATCACATATTAGTTACTGTCACCTTTCTTAACAATTTTTTTTTATCAATCTTAACAGTCCCCCTGTATCCTATGAGTAATATCCCTGTCTCTTTTTTCCCGTGCCCCTGGGAACCACTGATGGATTTGCCTATCTATATACTTCATATAAGAGAGGATCATACAGTAGCTGTTGTTTTGTGTTTGTTTCATTCAGTCTCTTTTCAGAGTTCAACCATGTCACTGATTGTAGCAGAATCAAGGATAAAGAGAATTCTTTCTCTTTCTGGATGATTAATATTAATTTTGTTCATCTATGCTTCAGTCAGTGGGCATTAGGCTCTTTGCACCTTTGGCAATTTTAAAGAATACTGCTATAGCATTGGTGGACATGCATCACTTAACAGTACTGCTTTCAGGTCTTTAGGATATATGCCTGGCAGTGAAGTTTCTGGTTCATACAATAGTTCTGCATTTCTTTTTTCCTTTTTTTCTTTGAAAAACTGCCAAACTGTTTTCCATAGCACCACCTGTACCATTTTGTATTGCCTGTGTCAGTGGATGAGGGCTGTTTGTGTTAAGAGGCATATCAGCGAAGGTAACAGTAGATCCTATGGGGAAAGGGACTTGTTTCTAACAAAGACAGGCTTACTGTGTTGCTTAGTTCTGCTTCTGCCACTGCAGACCCTGCACTGCTGGAATAGGAGTGAGATAACCTGGGGATATTGGGTATCAGATTGTATTCCTTAATAATACATGGTTATTAGTGAGGGGAAAGGATGATTGAGAAGCTGTTTTGCTCCATTAGCTTGGGTATAATTGTTGTCTATTTCAGGATTCACTAGAGTACCTGAGAAGGTTCCCTGGGGGAAAAGCACCCCACAGAGAAGCAGCAGAAAATCCAATCCATTTAAGCCTCTGCTTTCTAGAAAGCTGGAGCTAGGAAGCAGCCTTTTCCAGTTGCTCCCAATATTTGTGTGTAGAAACATTGTCGAAACAGAGCTGATGAAGTTGAAGCGCCAATCCCCTATCCCCAAATAAGTGAAGTTCATGTTTGAATCAATTTAAGGGATACATCACTTGCATGTTTTTTTGAAATGTCTTGGAAATCACTTTGATTCTGTACACAGTGCAGAAGAACAGAAAATACAAAAAAGGTGAAGATACAGCAAATTGTATGCAAGTTGTTCTTGTCACCTTTCCCCCTCAGAACTTACTTGCTGACTCATTGCCAACAAATCAAAACCAACTCAGAACTGATGCTCCAGGGGGCTTCAAGGCTATGAATCCCACTGAAGGAGACTGCCCATCCTTCTCCTGTGGAGCTGCCCGTGGATTTGAACCACCAGAGAGGTGCTGCCTTTAAGTGAGCAGCACACCTCCCTACCAACTAGGCCATGACAGTTGGCTGCCCTATCAGGTAGAGAAAGCAGTTTATTTTAAAAAGAATTGTGTTCTGGTGTTTGTAAAGAACCCTGTAGTTCTTTCTAATAGAAATCTGCTAAATAGGGTAGCACAGTCCATAAAGCGTAGCTCACCCAGAACCTCACTTCTCTGGCAGTTTAAACCCCCCAAGCTGCTCCTCTGGAGAAAGGTGGACATTCTTATCGTGGATGATTTTATAGCTCTGGAAACCTGCCGGAGCTCTGAATTGGATTCGACACAATGGCAATGACAGAGAAGTAGAAGCCTGCTAAATAGAGATTGGGTTTGGAGGGGAGCAGGCGAAGGAGGGGCCACACCTTTGACTTGCCGAAGCCCCCAGGGACTCATGTGCTCCCCAGTGAGTTTGAGTGGTTCTTACTGTGGCTGCAGGGGAGACTCACCCTGAGGAACTTATAAAATATGTCTGGCTTGAGTCCTCCAGCCGGGAGAAAGATGTACAGTATTCTCCCATCAAGAGTCACTGCCTTGGAAATCCGATGGCGAGTTGCTCGATGAGTGAGTTAGTGTTTTGTTTCTGAGGTCCCACCTACAACAGCAATTCTAATTATGAATTGATTGATCAAATTTAGCAAATTATTTACCTAATATAGTTAACCAATTTTTTAAAGCCCATAGTCTGACAAAAATGATTTTTTTTAACTTCATATTTTGTCATTTGTATGTTACTTTTTAACCACCAGAATTGGGATAAAAATAGTCTACAAGAAAGAGGAAGACCCTCCATGAGGTGGGTTGACACCATGACTGCAACAGTGGGTTTAAACACAGTGCAACTGTGAGGCTGACGTGGATATGAACAGGGTCTGTATGAATCAGAGTGGCTCAAACAGTGAGTCCCATATCTTTGAACCATCCATGTACTTTGGGCATATTATCAGAAGGAAATAGTTCCAAGAAGGACATCATGCTTGGGAAGTTCAGGAAAAAAAAAAAAGAGAAGGACCCTCAATGAAATGGATTGACCCAGTAACTATAATGATGGACTCAAACATTGCAATCACTGTTGAGACCCTGGCTGTATTTCCTTCTATTGTTGTTGTGAGGGGTTTGTTGGGGTCATTATGACTCTGAACTGACTAGACAACGCCTATCAAACAACAACAGGTCTCACCTCTGACCTATTAAATCAGAATCTTATGCACACCTGTGTTTATTGCTGCATTATTCACAATAGCAAGTGCCCATCAACAAAAAAATGGATAGAAAAACTATGGTACATTCACACAATGGAATACTACACAGCACTAAAAACCAATGAAATAGTAAAACATTACACGACATGGGAGAGCCTTTAGGACATTATGCTAAGTAACATATATCAGTCACAAAAGGACAAATACTGCATAACACCACTAATATAGGACAGACATGGGAGGTGACTGGAGAGTGAAAGGGTGAAAGTGGATAGATAATGAACATTGCATTAAAACAGTAAAGGGAAGAACTGTCTGAAAGGAATATATAATTATGTATTACATGTATGAGAACAATCTGGAAAAGGGCTATATTGCATGGTGGGCTGGGAGGGAGGGAGAAAAGGTGCAACAATGAATAAAAAAATAAAAATTAGAGTTTTTAGGAGGCTTCTTAAAAATCTGTCAGTGTTTTTCCAAAGTTTGCCAGGTAATTCTAATACACATCCAGGGCTAAAAACACTATAGCTACGTTAGCACTAGTTAATGGTTGTGGAAAACATCTGCTAAAACAGGAATAATATTTGTTAACTATGTAAAAGAAATGTGTAGAATATTCCTCCTCTCTATCTAATAGATACCTCCGCTGGCTCCATTAGCTTTTTGTACTTTCTGAAGAATCAAGTGGGAAGAGATGGAGAGAAACTTTTGAAAACGGTCCCACGGCCTTCTTTAGAGAAGGCTAGGGGTGAGGTGGCAGTGGGGGCAAGCATTGTTTATATATCTTTCAGGAAGTAGAAAATATGGCATGTTCTCCATCTCTCCAAATTGTGTAACTTTGAGGGATGTGATCTGTTTGTGCCAAAATAATGAGCCATATAATACGTTGTATTTAACATATGTGGGAATTCTTTCCAGGGTAATTAGCATTCCTTTCTTCAGCCTGCATTCAGAGGAAACATACCATTCACACCCTCTCTGTGTTCACATTTTCCAGTGCGTTGGAGAGCTTTTTCTCAATAGAAATCTTTGTCTTTTTCCTAAGAGGACTTGGGTTATAGTTGAAGAAACGTAGCATATCTTTCTTTTTTTTTCTGACAGGAATTGATTTTAAAATCAGAACGATAGAACTGGATGGAAAGAAAATTAAGCTTCAGATATGGTAAGTAAAAGAAAAGAAAACACACACACACACACGCACAACTTCTTTAATTAAAAGTTAAAATGGAAATTGAAGTATAAGCTGTGAAGAGTTGGATGCATTTTGTTGCAGCTTAAGAATCTTTTCTCTGAAACTTGAGCCAAGGGGGAAATGGTAGGTGTTGACCATCTTTCTCTACCAAGACAGGAGAAAGTGAAGAGTGACATCAGAAGAGACCTACGTGGAATTCATCCAGAGCTTTTAATTATCTAGGAGAAGAAACTAACTTCTAAAAAGTGCACTTTTCCATAGTCAGTGCTTCTGTGAAATCAGACAAGGAATAGTGAGTGAGTGGTCAGGTGGCAGGAACCCTGAATAGGAAGTGCAGATCTCACCATGACTACCTCTAAGTTGAGGTGACTTTTGGCCACATAGGTCTCTTGTCTGGCCTTGTTCTTCCTTACTTATAAACTGATAAGTTGCATTGATGACAGCTAAATTCCTTCCCAGCTCTGATATTTTATGATGATTTGTTTATTCTCATTAAGTAAAGAAATAAATAAAACTGTTGGATTAATAAGTCAGGGCAGAAGTCCTTGCTTCCATCTTGGATATTATAATATCTAGAATGCCAAGTTGAACAGTTTTTGCTTAAGCTCAGAATCTTGTAGTTTTTTTTAACGTCATGGGAAAAGCACCACCACAAAACTGGTTTAATTACCTTCAGCCTGCTGCACTGCCGGTGTCATGTGAGTTTGGGCCCTTAAGGAGGTTTTCTGTGATGCTTGCAAAACAATAAGCGTAAAATCAAACCCACTGCCAAACCCATTGGGTTGATGAGTCTAACTTACAGCAACTCCATAGGACAGAGGACACCTGCCCCGTGGGATTTCTGCAGGTATACATTTTTATGGGAACATTCTGCCTCATTTTTCTCCCATGGAGTGGTTGGTGATTTTGAACTGCTAACCTTTTAGTTGGCAGTCAGGTGTTTAACTAATGGGCCACCAAGCGTCCATGTAATTTAGATAGCAGTAGAGAAAGCTTAGACATTTAGAGTCCCATGGACAAAGGAAGCAAGGCCAAAAGTTAAGTAATGTATCAGCTTTTTCCTTAGGATCTCTTTCTTCCTTGGATCTCAGAGTTTGAACGTTACATTGAAATCCACCAGCCCTTCTATTTTAAGAGGGAAGTGCAGAGAATTTCTGATGTCCGCCTCTATAGTCCTGATCATCAGCAATAAGGAACACAGTTCTTGAGTTTTACTGAGAGCCTGAGGATGATCAGCTAATTAGAAGTCAGGATACTCCCTGCCGTCAAGGCAAGTCTGACTCTTGGCAACCCCCCATCATTTTTCAAGACTGTAAATTTTAATGTACACAGATTGCCTGGTCTTTCTCAAGGGGCTGGTGGATTTGAATCCAATCCAAGCCGGCCAGCTCTTAACACCCTAGGCCACCAGTGCCCCTAGAAAATCTTATGGAGTGGCCCAAACATTATAGCACTGTTTATCATTGTCCTCAGAAGTAAAATAATGTCCATTCCCTCCTCACAACCTGCATTTAGTATGGGAGCATTCTCCCTCCATCCTCTTGACATAGCTGGTTCCAAGCTAGTAGTACATTAGAACTGAGAAGTATAGTTCATCTTCCCAGAGGTTCCTAGCCTTCTTTCTCCCCATGATGCTTTTCCTCTATACTAAAAAAGTGCCCCATGTGTATAATCCTATCAGTGAATGAAAGTCAGGCTAAGAGGGCTTTGATGTGAGTCCTGGCTCTACACTGAATAGCTGAGACTTAGGATGAGAGGCATTTTATCCAAGGGAATGAGCTGTTTAGTGGCAGAGCGGAGCCCAAAGCTCCCAAACCTGTCTTGTCTGCAGGCGGAGAATGATGTCATTTGATGCAGTACACTGGCCTTAGGGGGACATCCTGTCAGCACAATGTGAAAGTGTTTTGTCAAGTAGATGTAAAATGTTAATATGCTTATTGATGTTTTTTAATTTACTCTATTTCCCTTGGTCCTTTATTTAATCTCTTGTTTAGGTTTGTTATCCATTAGAATTCCAGTACATTTTCACAAATGCCTCTTTTTCCCTTGCAATAAAATTATAGCGTTTCATTTGTCTTAGTAGTACAGTTAATGCACCAGCTCTGGCTGTGAGTGCCAAATTTGAGAATATTGATTTCCACACCTCCCTGCCCACCCCTGAATGCCAAGGAAATTTAACTTCTTCTAATTGGTTTGCTTTTATAAACATAATTAGGAAGCTTTGCATGTACTGAAAGTGGTTTAATGGCATGCTATCAGCTTAGAAGAATGTATGCAAGGGTGACACCGTTTTGAGGTGTTGCTTGTGTTATAAAGTCTTTGTAAACATTTCCAAGGATTCTATGTTCACCGCCAGCCTCCTGTTTATTAATGGGCTCCATAGCTGAAAAAGTCTTGAGGCGATCCATTTTTGTGCGCTCTGGAGAGCAGAATTTGCAGAGTAAAGTCCAGCTCAGTTGTTCACTCCATGTGGAAATCACTTTTTCAATGAACAGAGAAAAAGGTCTCAATCATTAAGCATTTATAAAAAGAATTGTAGCTACCACTAGAAGCCCGAGAATTCAGACCTATTCTTGATTCCCTCCCACATGTGTCTAAACTATTATCACTTGCCAGTTTCTAGCAGGACCCTTATATTTTCTAGTTACTGCTTTTATTGTCTATATTTTTCACCCACGTCACAGTGAGCTCCTGACAGGCTTTAGGGGCCTCCACTGTCTCCACATGGCAGACACGCAGCAGATCCCCTCTGTGCCTTGTTCCCCTTTAAACCATTGCATTAGCGAACAGACCAGAATTTTATCTGCCACAGCTTCGAGTCTCTCAGTAATGCTGATGATGGTGACTTCTGAAACCACTCTCTCCTCTGTCTCACATCACAGGGACACAGCGGGCCAGGAAAGATTCCGAACAATTACGACAGCGTACTACAGAGGAGCCATGGTGAGTGTGCTTTAGAGTTTTGATAACTCTTCAGGTGAAAGTGAAGTATAAACATTCATTTGACGAGACGAGGGAAACCAAGCTGGGGTCTAATGCAGTGGAGGAAAATAGATTTCTTGATATTAAAACAATGACATTTGAGGAGGTTTTGTTAAGTTTTAAGTTTCACAATCATATACTTGGTCATTATTCTTCATAATAATATTTTGTTGATGTTCTGGAACTTCTTCACATGTTCTGATGTGATTATTTTCTTGATTTTTCCATTTATTAAGTCCTCATGCCAAATCGTGGCAAACACAAGCCAGTGAAATGACCAAGTAGTCATTTCCTGCACCTTCTTGTCACTCAGCCCTACAACTATCTGCTCTTATCTCTCACCAGCTTCACAACATCCACCATTCATTTGTGGCTGCTCCATGGTCAGTACTTTGCTAACCAAAAAAGTAACGGAATTGTCTATGCAATGAGTCATAAGAGTGTGATGGATCGTAACCAGTCAGTCCCCCTGTGCTACATTCAGATATTACCCTTGATAGTTTCATAGCTTGATTATTCACCATCCCAAAATGTTTCATCTGTTCAGTCCATTTACTTTGCTGCTACCTCTGGGCAGGTGCTATGTAGTAGGAGTAGAATGATAAGATAAGGCAACCTTGAACCTTGGGCCCAATCCAGGACTTTGATCTCCAGTTTTAGGCCTAAGCCCTGAGTTTAAGCTGAAGTCTTGAATTTTTTGTGGTTTCTGTGAAGCTGAACACTGTGACACTGATGTGTCAAATGTGTTAATGGTTACCCATGGTGGACAGTGTTTGGTGGAGCTCCCCGATTAAAACGAGCTTGGAAGCAGGAGTGGCATCCACTTTCGTAAATAGCTTGCCTCCAGAAACCCTGTGAACCTGGAGAAAGGATGAAAGTCTCACAAGTGTTGAGGACTTTTGTTCACAGGGTCGCTATGAATCGCCTGAGACTCGACGACACTTAACAACAACAGCAACAACATTTATTTATTTATTTTAATTTAATTTAATTATTTTTTGTGTGTGTACTGTCAAATTGGATCTGACTGGTACAGAGGAGATTGCCCCTCCTTCAGCAGAGCATCTGGTGAATTCTAATTGCGTACCTCTGGGATTATAGTGCAGCTTCTTGGCACTAGGCCATGAGTGCTCCACTTGAAGTCTTGAATTTTTGAGACCCAATTTGCTCAGAAAGTTTGAAGGTTGAGTAGTTGAGATTATGAGGCCAGCCTTTAGGGTAGCAGCTGCCACCTTACTCAGCTCAGTACTTGAAAGGGTCTCTTGCTCAGGAGAGAGTGGTGCATGGGAGACAGAGCAGAAGAGCATGATAGCCATCTTCTTGTCTCCAGAAAGGGGTCATTGGGATCCATAGATCCCTTCATTATCATGCTGCTCTCCCTTCTTTCTCGGCTGCCACTCGGTCTCAGTTACGGGGGCAACAACTAATATCCAGAAAAAGTGTCAAACGCATTGTTATCAAGTTAGAACCTACTCATAGCTGACCTTCCCTTAGGTCCATGGCTGTAAACCACACAGAAGGAGTTAGCCACTGGTAGATCTGAACCACCGTTGGGTTAGAAGCACAGCTCCCAGTGGACTGTGCCACCAAAAGGATAGTTGTTGTCTGGGGCCACTGAGTCAAGTAAGACTCATAGCAACCCTGTGAACAACAGATCTGAACTGTGCTCTGTCGTTTTCCATCCTTATCATCCTTGATATTCTTGAGTCCATTGCTGTCGTCACTGTACCAGTCCGTCCTATTGAGGGTCTTCTTCTCTTTTGCTGACTCTCCATCTTTCTAAGCATGATGACCATTTCCAAAGAATGACCCGACCTACCAGCATGCACAATTTGAGATGAAGCTTTGCCATATTTACCCATAAGGAGGACTTTGGTTGTACTTTTCTCCAAAGCATATCTGTTTGTTCTTATATCCATAGGATATTCATTCCTCTTTTCCAACCCCACGACTCAAAAGTCATCAGTTCTTCTTCTGTCATCCTTATTCATTGTCTAGCACTGAGATACATAGAAGGTGATTGGAAAGACTATGGCTTGAACCAGGTGCACCTTAGTCTTTAAATTGGCATCATTGCTCCTTAGTAGATTGTTGTTGTTAGGTGCCATCAAATCGATATGACTGATAGTGACCCTATGAATGTCAGATCTGAACCCTGTCCTATCCTGTGCCATCCTCATCATCTCTGACACACTTGAGCCCACTGCTGCAGTCACTGTGCCAGTCCATCTCGTTCGGAATCTTCCTCTCTTTTGCTGACCCTCCTTTCCAAGCATGGTGTCCCTTTCCAAGGAATATCTCTCCTGGCAACAGGCACCCCCTTTTAAATTGTTATCTTCTTGTATATTACACACCACTGAGCATTGTATATATTTTTTCCGTATATCACCATAATAATAATAATATTGCTGTTGTTAGGTGCAGTGGAGTTAGAACCAACTCATAGCTGACCCTCCAGTGGGTTTTCAGAGGCTGTAATCACACGGGAGAGGAGATTTCTCCTGAGGAGCAGCTGGTGGATCCAGATTGTGGGCCTTTGAGTTGGCAGCACAGCTCTCTACCGTTAGGGCCACTAGCACTCCCCATCTTGAGGTTATACAGGTTTGTTATTTTAAGAAAGAGAGTTGCCAGCTGCTCTGTTTTCATTTAGATTGGAATCAAAGAAGGAGGGGCTTCCCTTGTATGCTAGGAAGAAGTTGGTTGGTTTACTTCCTCCAGGAAGGATTAGAGAGGTAAATAAAAACATTGTCACAGTGCACAGTATTAAGAATGTAATCAGTATCATTAAAACTGTTGGCACAAAGAAAGAGCCTCTTGACAGGGATGAATTGGAGTCATTCACAGGCAGTTCTCACTAGAGGTGTTTGGTGGCACAAATCTTCCTGCTGCCCAGTGTCTCCTCTTCTGGGAGTGGTGCACTGACATCACTTCACTTCGTGTTTTCACCAGTGGTAGAGAGGTACACCGAGAATGTGGAAGCAAATGCACTGTTTGAATGTCCAGTTCTAGTTTATAGTGTGAAGAAGGAGACCCGTTGTTTTAGATTTGGAGATTGTCCAGTTTTGTTTTGTTTTTGTTTGTTTTTTTTTTTTCACACATCTGCTACCTAATCTTTCCTCACATTACTTCAGCACTTCAAAGAATTAGAAATTATTGCTCTTATCTATTGTATGATCTTTTCTATTTTTTTAACCACACAATATCCTTTTATTCTATTCAAATAACAGCTTCTAGCTCTATTATATGTCACATATTAGACAATTAAGTGTTTTGGAAATCTAAGTTTCCACAACATTAACCATAATTAATTAAATATAATTAGCAGAAGATCTTTTCTAATTTCAGAGTAGGGATTTTTGTCTCCTTTGTGTCCTATAAAACTGGACTATATGAAGAAAAATGTGGCATCAGACTCATCAACAACTCGTGTTATACAGATAACACACCTAGCTTGCTTAAAGTGAAGAGGACGTGAAAAACAGCCTTCAGTATATATTACATTTCAAAATCAGGAAAAGAGCTGGGCCAACAGCTCACCACTGGATCAGTAGGCAACATCTTCATAGAGGAAGAAGTGATTGATATTGATTTCATTTTACTTAGATCCACAGTCGACACTCATGTCAGGAAGTGAAAAGATGTTTTACATTGGAAAATCTGCTGTTGCAAGGGCCTCTTGAAAGTGCTAGGAAAACAAATGTCAGTTTAAAGACTAAGGTGGACCTGATCCAAACCATGGTCTTTTCAGTTACTTGCTTTGCATCTGAAAGTTGGACAGTGACTAGGGATGACAGAGAAGAATTGAAGTTTTAGAATTGCGATATTGGAGAAGAGTGTTGAAGATCTCCTGGACCGCCAAAAGAACAAACAAGTTGTCTACGAGGGTGCTTGCTCCGTAGGGACTAGGATGGTGACATGTTGTCAAGAGGAACCAGTCCGTGGAAGAGGACATTGCGCTGGCAAAGGAAGAAGATCAGAGACAGAGAGGAAGACTTTCACAAGATGGATTGACGCTGTGACTGTGGCAGTGCACTCTGGCATATCGGAGATGGTGAGGATGGTACAGGATAGGGCAGGGTTCATTTCTGTGTTCATTGGGCCATTGTGAGTCATAGTTGGCTGGATGACACCTAACAGCAACAACAGCAGAATGCCAGTGCCCACAGTAGTGCCTGGCACATAGCTCAATAAATGTTTTTTGAATGAACAGCGAACAATAGGTTAGTGAAGTCAGCGGAAATTTCATGCTTAGAAGTGATTGTTCTGCTCCACTAAGTCTTTTGGCAATCTTGGGTCTGTTAAGTGAGGTGTGGAACTGTCTGTTTTCATTGGTAGACACTATTCTCAGATAAATAGTAGTGTGTTGATCAGTCCGTACAAGAAGAACTCATACTAAATGCAGTATGCTTCCAGTCATACTGAAGGAGTACAAAGGGAGACAATTTCCTATTGAATTAAAAAATGTAAAGTAGCGGTGATTACCTCTTACTCTTCACATTATCCTGCTTTAACTTAAAACACTCAGTACCAATCATGCCAATTCTTATCATGTGAGGTCAGGTGGAAAAGACGGATCACCTTTATGATAATCAGGAATTCATTAAAGTTTAACAGTGAAAATGTTAACAGTTATTTATTTATGTGGAGAGATAGAGGAAGAATTTGTTTATTTAATTCTCTGAAGCTTTCAAATGTTTTATGAATCCCTTTAATGAAGAGGAAAAAAAGGACAAAAGGATAAAAGATTTCTAGAGGGAAAACATACATAGACATCAATATTCTGCTGCTTTAAAAACATAAAATACTAACTACCCTTTGTGTTCCTCTCTCATCTAGGGAATTATGCTGGTCTATGATATCACAAACGAAAAATCCTTTGACAATATTAAGAATTGGATAAGAAACATTGAAGAGGTACGTACGGAAACCAGATGATGATTCCGGAGATGTGAGGGCTGCTGGGTGGGTGCTCTGTGAGACTGGCTGCCTCTGGAGATAGCTGAGAGCTGAGAGGCTGAGCATGGGCGGCGCCAGAGCTCCTGGGGGGCTGGGTCCTGTGCTGACCCCTGACTTCTGCCTGGTGGGGGCAGACAGAGGAGAGTTCTCACAGAAGTTTAAACTTGGACTGGGGCTTGAAAGCATTTAATCCAAATCCTCATTTTACACATAAGACAGCTGAAGTGAAAGAAAAACAGATTTGTTTGTACTAAAACATTATTTTAAAAAAGTAGAAAACCCAACAAAATCTTTGTGTCAAGGCCATTCCAGATCTTACAATGATTTGATTTTCAAGACTAAATTTTTAGGGACAGAGACTGCCCTTCTTTCTCCCAAGGAGCAGCTAATGAATTAGAACTCGCAATCTCTTGGTTAACAGCCAAAGTTTAGTCACTGTACCATAAGAGTCCCCTTTAAAAGGAGAGCTCACTCCCAATGCTTATCAAGTCAGAAACGACTCGTAACCGGCTCTCCAGACGGTTTTCAGAGACTGTAAATTGTACAGGATGAGATTGCCCATTTTTCTCCCAAAGAGCCACTGGTGGATTTGAACCATCAGACTTAGTCTTTTTTTTTTTTTTTAGATTTCACTACATAAACGTTTATTTTTTTATAAAAAGTGTGTAACACCAGACTACTTTTAAATCCATTAATTTATGAGACCATTCTCTTTTTTTAGAATACACATTGGCATTGAAACAATTTAAAGGACTGTAATCACTATCTACAACAGACTTAGTCTTTAGTTTAGTAGTGCAACTCCCTATGGACTCAGCCACCAGAGCTTCCTTTAGCAGGAAGTGGACGAAAACATCTGACTGCCCAGTGCTGTGTGCCTGTCAGACTTTTTAACCAGCAAAACTAGCAGTAGCTGCACTGTCAGTTTAACGTCTTCCTTTAACCTTTTCTCCATTTTAGACATTTAAAAACGAGGTCTATAAATTTTGTTTAATTCCAGATCGATAATATTATGAGTTTTCTACGTATTCACCTTGTCAGAAAGAAACGTGATGCTGAATTAATTTTGTGCCCATGTCTGCCAGGCCCTCAGGTCCAAAGTTTCCTGGTTTTTAGAGATTTTTCCTTCTTTGACTCTTAACATATATTTGGATCTTTTATGTTTGTATGACCATGTCTTTTTTCTCTGTTCATGGGCAGAAAGAGAAATTAGAATGAACTTCCATAGCCTTTGAAAAACAGTTTGCACAGGGCTGTGAAGGAGTTTATGTGGAAGCCTCTCCCCTCCTCCTATCTTCTAAACTCTTCTCTGAATCAAGCCTTGTTTTGAGTGAAAGATGATTTGTCTTATTAAATTTATGAATGTGTTTCTGACAGGTTAGAATTTCCCTATTGAATAACTGGTTTTTCTCAGGCCCTTTTTATAACATACTCTTTTTCTCGCTACAGCATGCCTCTTCAGATGTTGAAAGAATGATCCTTGGTAACAAGTGTGATATGAATGACAAAAGACAAGTATCAAAAGAAAGAGGCGAGAAGGTAAATTTCAATCATATACTTAAAAGGCCACAACCCACACTAATTTTCATTGCATTTATTTTCGTATTTATTTATTTATTAAGTTTTAAAAACGTTTCAATCATTTAACATCATCAACAAAAGAGATGTAAGCCATAATTGAGGGGTGAATTAGTATTCCAGGTCCAGCTCTGTATACTGTGTGGTCATGACTCATTCCTAAAGAATTTGCTAATGTTTTCTGAGAGATACAAATTGGTCCTTTTCAAGATTGCTTCAGCTTCCAGTTCATGTTGTTTCTTTTTAAAATCTGTGTTAGAATGTCCAGTTTTGCAGTTAATGTAATCCATTCTCTTGGGAGGGGGGAAGTATTAGGATAGGGGATGTTTAAACAGCAATAATTTTTCCAGCTCATTATTTTATGAAAGAATATTTTAGTGTAAATTAGTTGTAGGCCACTATAGATAACTTTTTATAATTAACTAAGATGTGTATGCAATTACAGGCCATTTATGAATATGTCTTTATTCTGTGCCCAGGATGAGAAAATGGTCTGTTTTATGTATATATTTACTTCTGTGATATTTTGTACATTGATTTTCATTTTGCTCATTTACTGGAATTTTGTTTTGACTTATTTTATGGATCTATGCAAAATGAATTTTGCTTTCTATTCTGAATGACGCACTTATTTCTCCTGAAAATATCCACTTACTATCGGTGTTGTGAATGAACTGGACTCTTTTTGAGAACTGATAAAAGAGTTCACAGTTTGTCTCAACTCTGGAAATCAGAGCAATTACTATTTTGACTTTGTAAAATTTTATTTCTATTATATACTAACTTATTTAAAAATTATTACAATCAGTGTAATAACTGTTAGAGAATTATTATTTGGTAACAGATAAAAGAAGCCAGTAAATTGCAAATTAATGGTAGAAAGGGCATCACTCTCATCTTTTTTCTTGTTACAAGAGATCTAAAAGTACAACAGATAAGAAGTACTTAGTCTGTTTTAAATGTTTTTCTCTCAATTATGGTGCTTCAAATAAATAATTTCATTCCAGACTTAATAGAAGAAGATAAAGTTATTTGAAAAGCATGGGAATTCCAAAATAGACACCCTATCCATGGGTCTAGGAGAAATTTATACACTCCCCCCCCACACACACACACATCAATAAGCAACTTTAACTTAATTTTTATGCCTCTATTTTGCCTTTTAGTTAGCAATTGACTATGGGATTAAGTTCTTGGAGACAAGTGCAAAATCCAGTACAAATGTAGAAGAGGTAAGAAAGAAAATCACTAAGTGAATGACTTTTTGTGTGTGTGTGTGGGGGGGGTGGTGGTGTTTCCGTTTCCGTTTTTTTTCTCTTTTTTTTAATTATTATTAATTTCAATGAACATCTACAGAGATTTTGGAATTCCATTCATTCATTGTTGCACTTTTCTCCCCACCCCCACCCCCAGTTCACTCCTCTTCTTGAAAAGCAAAAGAAAAATTCCTTCATTGGTACACGATCCCCACCCCCATCCCAAGTATACTCCACTCTGCAACTCTCATTCCAGACTCTTATGATAATCATAATGCCCTAAAATATATTAATTTTAAACTATTCTCTCCCTCATCAGCTTCAATGCAGTAAACAATTTATCCAGTTTTTCTCAGTCTTACCCCCACCCCAATGTCAGCCTCATTCTACAACAGTGGCACCATATAATATTTGTCTCTTTGTGACTGAGAGATTTCACTCGGCATAATGTCCTCCAGGGTCACCCATTTTGAATAATATTGCATGAGTTCCTTGTTTTTCAAAGCAGCATAGTATTCCATTGTGTGAATATACCACAGCTTCTCTATCCATTCGTTTGTTGATGGACACTTAGGTTGTTTCCAACTCCTTGCTATTGTAAACAAAGCCGCAATAAACATGGGTATGCATATATCTGCTTGGATGTCATTTATGGTCTCTTTAGGGTATATTCCCAGTAGTGGAATTGCTGGGTCAAATGGTATCTCTATTTGCAACTTTTGAGAATGACTTTTTAGACACTGACACCAATGTTTGGATGCCTGTGTTCCAGCACCACACAGAGCCTTGAGTTGACACATCTCCATTTTGCGAACTTTTTATGCTTTTGACTTTTACATGAACCCTGGTTATTTAATTTCTAACATCCATCTCCCACATAGGGTTTATTACATTGCTCATTTAAGATTGACTGAACAGAAGATGAGTTTTAAGTGCTGCTTAAGTTCTGTTTTGCCCTTTGGGAAGTAGGAATTGCTGAACTAAAAGACCAAATAATGTCCTGTGCTCATTTATTGTCATTCAGGAAAAATAGATCCCTGGATAAAAAATTAACGTCAGGCTTGGTAAAGTAGAAAGGGTCAATGAAAAATAGGAAGACCCTCAGTGAGATGGTTTAGTGGATACAATAAAGGGCTTGAACATAGCAGTGATTGTGAGAATGGCACAGACTGAATAGCATTGAATTGCTTCTCTTGTACACAGAGTTGGTTTGAGTTGGAACCAAATTGAAATTACCTAACAACAACATGTTATCCTGTAGTAGCTTGTGGTAGAACAGCCTTATTTTCATCCCTGTACTCTCTCAAGAGATGATTAAACTGTTATTTTATTGAAGAGATTCCCTTATTCAGAGTAGATCTAAAGCATGAGACACTCATTGAAACACAATGGCGTTTACTGGCAATCAGAAAATGTGTTTATCTGAAAGTAATTTTACTGTAAATTTTCAGTCAGTGAACATTACAGAAAGTATTCTAAGAATATTCTTCACCAAGGACAGACATGCTTAATAGCATTTTTTAAAAAAACAAAACAAACAACTTTTGATGAGAAAATACTCAAACCTTTAAAGAGACATTTTTAAGAGGATGTTAGTAGAAGGAAACCATTTGAATGGTCAAATTCACCAGCTCATACAAATGTAAACTAGTCAGTCTCAGAGAAAGCCTTTCAAAACAAGACTAACTCAGGAACTTATAAGAAAATCATTAATTGGCTAGTCTTCACTCAAGATGAACTTCAACTCACAACTCACTGCGGTGCCTCAGAACTGAAGCTCATAGCTGATTGATCCTGTAGCAGTAAATCACATGAGAGGAGATTACCTCTCTTTCTTCCTCAGCCAAAACCCAAACCTACTGTCATTAACTTGATTCCAACTCATAGTAACTGTACAGGACAGAGGATAACTCCATCGGCTTCCAAAGGCTTTAATGGGAGTCGACTGTTTCATCTTCCGAGGAACAGCTGAACCAATTGAACCCACTGCACTACCAGAGTTCCTTGGGTTCACAAACCAAAACCTCACTACTGTTGAATCAGTCCCTATTTCTGGTGACCCTCCAGTCTAGTGACTGAGTTTTCATGACTGTGAAATCTTACAGGGAGAAGCCTGTCTCACCTCCTCCCATGGAGCTTTCAGTTATCAGCCCAATGTGTAGCCCACCACAGCGCTGGGCCTCTCCTGGCATCATAAACAAAAAACAAACCCACTGCCTAATTCGGACTCATAGAGGCCTTCTATTGGGTATCCAAGGTTGTAAATCTTTAACAAGGAGACTACCCATGTTTCTCCCTCAGAGCATCTGGTACATTTGAACCTCTGATCGTCCAGTTAGCAGTGCAGCACATTATGCTCCCTTGGAATCACAAAGGGGAGGGTTGAATGAAGCATGAAATTGGCTACCATGAAATACATACATAATAGTTATAAGAGTTAATTGCAAAAATTCATCTGGGCACAGAAATTTATAGTCATAGTCCCATTCGACTCAACACATTGTTGTGCATTTGGAACTGACTCATAACTGACTCTCTTGCGGGTTTCTGGAGGCGGTAAATCACACAGCAGAAGACGGTGCTTCTTTCTCCTGCAAAGTAGGTGGTGGATTCGAGCTTCCACTTTTGGGTGAGCAGTGAGACTCCCTCTCCTCTGGACAACAGAGCATCTCACATTTCAAGATGCTTACAATACAGATTGTAAAAACATTTAGTTTGACATAAAGCTTTTCTTGAGGATGTCTGGTACCAATGTTGGCACCAAAACACCTTCCTTAGAAACTGTTCCCTCAAGTGAAACTTTCCTAGCTGCTTGGGGAGGTTTTGAGAACAAGTGCCCTAGGTCTTTTTCCTGAGACTTTGTTTCTGCATCCCTTTCATGAAACGAATATTTCTTAATTTGTGTTAAGACCCCCTCCTTCCACATGCTGGCCACATAAAGAGCCTTGAAGGCAAGGCTTTCATAACTTGTTTTAATTCCTTTGAAACAAGAGAAATAGGGATTTCATTTATTCTCACTAATCTGGTCAAAGACCATGGAAATGTCTCTTTTGCAAAACTAGCCATAAGGGCAATACTGTATTTCTGTATAAATATGTGTTAGCACATATAACTCATATAACACTATATTGATAGTATCTTAACATTTAATTTCTTAGACCAATCACAACGTGTAACATTTTGACTAAATTTGTTGTCTTTTATGTACCATCAAGTTGCCTGAGACTCTTAGTAACTCTATGTACAATATCTCTGAAGCCTGCTCTGTCCTAAGCCAGTCTCACTAACTTGGACACATCTACCTCCATTAACCCAGTTACTATATCAATCTATCTCATCTGGGGTCTTCCTCTCCTGCACTGTCCCTTCACCCTTTCAAGCATGATGACCTTCTCCAAGGACTGGTCCCTCCTGGTCATGTGTCCAATGTGAGACAGAGCTTCAAAATCCTAGCCTCCAAGGAGCAAATTTATTTCACCCTTTCCAAGATCAATGGTGAGACATAACTGACCTTATAGGCCAGTCCACAATAACAAAAAGGTTTTTGCTTTATTTCAAAGAACTGATTTTTTTTTTCCAGGTTAGCTAATGGTTGTTAGGAAATAGGAAGCCCCTACTGGTTAATTTATAGATTCACTGATGAACAAAAGAATATTTGTTTCTGTTTACTACAAAAGAATTCCCCTCCATAAGAGAGGAGAATCTCCTTAATCAATTTTAATCAAAAAGGGCTCTGTCACTGAATGGCCAGCACAGGTTCTGTCCCCCAGGTGAACTCTTGTCCTGGCTTAACTCAGCCGTAGGTCTATCAGCACCTTGCACCCTAATCACAGTGGTGGCTCCAAGGGGCACTGAGTTATAGAAGTGTAAAAGCTGTTTTTTTAGCCAGATACTCCACAAAAGGTAGTAGTTTAGTTTCGAAGTGTAGCTAGCCTCAAAATCTGTCTTGCAGCTTACTTAGAAACCTCGATTCCCAGGTCACCTGTGTGACACTGAGGTGCTGAGAACAAGTAGTGAAAGGAGTCAGCAGTTTGTTTCCATTTGAAAGAATCCTTTTCCTGAACATTGTGTTTGGATGGTCAGGTGTCACTGGCAGCAAAGTGTCTGCTAGAACAAATGGGTTTAGTCTGAACACAACCTAAAAAGCTTCAAGATTTCTTGACTCTGTAGAATGAGGATACATTTTAAGAAACACTTGGTTCAGGTGAGAGCACATGACAGGGAACTTATTACTGAGATTGATCAGATTCACTCTCCCTCCCTGTGATTTGATTTTGAGGATAGGGAATTTAGTGGAGTTCCAGCAACTGTTAGGCTTTGAAGGGATTAAAACATGGTGGCCAGTGATTAAGTGCTCAACCGCTATCCAGAAGGTCAGTGGTTGGAATCTACTACCTGCTCCAGAGGAGAAGGAGAGAACAGTCTGAGTCTATGAAGACATAGCACTGGAGCCCTGTGGACTTTCCTGCCTCCTCTAGGGTCCCTGTGAATCAGAATTGACTGGACTCGTCAGAAGTGGGTTTGGAAAACATGGACAATTTGAAGCATAATAAGGGGTCTCCAGTGAGAGAATGAGAGCACTTGGAAAAAGAGACAGTCAAGAATAAACTATAGATATTTTTATGAAGACATTTTACAGATATAAAATCATACATAGTAATTCAGTCAGTGACTTCTTGTTGTTGTTCGGTGCTGTTGAGTCATAGACGACTCACAGAGACCCTATGAACAAAAGGCCTGAGCACTCTTTAATACCGCCTAGATGGGGTGTCCTGTGCTCCAGCAACTCAGGGGTTAGCTCAGTGAGCTTCGGCCCTTGAGAGGCTCTTGGTCTATTGAAGAAGTCACTCCTATCTCAACAAGTGTCCTATTAGAAGCCTGTACCACGCCCTACGTGGAGAAGTTACTGAGGGATGAATGCATGAATGACAGTTGGATAACACTAGAAAAGTGGGATATAGAGCATTCGTAGTATATACTGTGGTATTTTTCTCAGTTAAAATGTTCCAAGAAATGTTTTACAATTAAGTGATGAAAAATTTCTGTATTCCACTCTTAAAACCATGATTTCATTGTATAATGGTGATTTTTTTTTTTTTACATTTTTTAGGCATTTTTTACACTTGCACGAGATATAATGACAAAACTCAACAGAAAAATGGTTTGTATTTTATTTTCATTATGATAATTCTATTTGGCCTTTGATAAACTTACAGTATTATAGTTACATTAAACTCGTTTTGTATGCCCCCTCCCAAGCCCACCTTACCTACTCACCTAGTCAAACTGTGGTTCTTATTTTTGTCACCTGTTTTCAGTTCTTTCATGTGGCTTGCCATTGAATTTTTATAAAATTAATCATGGCACAAATTAAGGTTTTGAACTAAAATGGTCTAGTTTGACTTTTTTTGTGATAGACATTTTTATCTACATATTATTATGACTTTGAAATTAACATCTGCTTAATGTGCAAATATCTCAGTAATAGACCAATAGGGCAACCTTGGAGGTTTGCTTAACTTAATTCCTGACTATAGTTGTAAACGTTATGTTAGCCAGCTTTTGTATCTCTAACAACAGTATTGTCTATACCAGTATCTTAACATTGTTTCCATCATTAATCTTGAAACTCTACACTCACTGGCTATAATTTCATTAGACTAGAAACTAGAGCTTCCTATCTAATATATTATTAATATACAATGTGCTGCCCTCAAAACATTTTTCTCTTTTTAACCCATAATTTCCAAAGAGAAAAGACCCAACATTGGAGGCTAGCTGGCTCCTTGTCTAATACAATGGCCTAGAGAATACTTGGTGTACAGTAGATTTGGTGTATTTTAGGTAATTGAGGTTAAACTAGAAACTCTCCTTCCATTGTTGGTAATCTTCCCTCTCTTGTTTAGAATGACAGCAATTCATCAGGGGCAGGCGGACCAGTGAAAATAACAGAAAACCGATCAAAGAAGGCCAGTTTCTTCCGTTGTTCGCTACTTTGATGAACTCGTTCTGAGAGACTTGCAGCACACCCGAGGAACCTTCCCTGCTTCTTTGAAAGCACAGGTCACCCAGCCTCAGAGTCACACCACCCGGCTGCTGCTGAGAGCGCCACTGAACCTAGACCTCTGGACACAGAATGCCAAGCGGCCTCGCCCTCAGGGCCTAGCAAAATAACAGGCTCCTTTTTCAAACGCGAAGCAATGAAGTGGAGACCCACGCAGGACTTACCCTGTTTTTCCTTTGTTTTATTGCCTGTTGCAGAAGCTGCTATCTTTCTTTTCACTTTGCACATCAGTGTTAGCCTTTTCCCTGATCCGGCGCAGTCTTAGGGTTGTATGCACTTGGTTTTGTCTCATGAAATTCTAGACAGATTCATGCAGTGGGGAATATTTAACAAAAAGAGTAGAGTATATAAAGCAGAGGCTAACAGACTAAAAGTAAAGAACATATGGTTCAGTTCTTAGGGCAAATGTTACTGCACTAGTAACATTTCTTTTAAGGGCCGTGGTTTATGATTTTTCTTAACAGTCATTACAATTCTGGTAATGTTGGTTTTAAAAATTCATAAAAATGCCAGAGGCCACAGTTTTCTTCACATTCTTTAGAGCTTTGTCCCTTTTTGACCTATTTGCCACAGAGGGTCTGTCTGGGTAGCTGAAAGAATCACTTTTTAAGTTTATTCCTTCTGCCTGACCTAGAGAAACTGCATTTAGAAATCTTCATCTCACTTTTTCTAAGATTTGTATTGACTGTTCTCTCTCGTGTTTGACCAAGTTGTCCAGAACATAGCATATTTGAACATTGTTGTCTCTTCTTGTCAGCTGCTTTAAGGTGAAGGGAGTGTTTTTTTTTCAGCAACTGTTTATTATTCTAACACATTAGAATAATATATCATTCTCCCCCTCTTGGGTTTATCCTGGAGCTTGCTTGTTTTTATTGTATCACTTCCTACCATACCCTCTGTCTGAAGAGTTAACAAGAGTTAGATTTAGATTTTAGTTTGCAGAAAGCTTACCTGTAGAAAGAGATTAACTTGCTGATATAAATTTCATAGAGATAGCTCTTGGTGATGATGGTGATGATGATAATTTTTATTTTTCTTTTTATTTGGAAGGAGGGTGGTATTTCTAAAAATAAAAATAATTGACCTAGGGCAACCTCTAGGAAAAGTTTTGCCTTTGAATTGGGATAAAAGCATTAGCAGGATTTTAGTTCTAAAACAGCTGTGGTTTAGTAATTGAACCCAGTTCTATCTGCTCAGGCTCATTGTTGTAGAACTTAGTCTCATCAATGAGACCAACGCCAACAAAAAGCTTAGCTGCCTTTCTCAATGAACAGTGGGACTGGTAATACATTTTGTAGATGGAACTATCAAACAGGTATTTAATATTAATTTTTGTGCCAAAATTTAGATCATTATGTCACTGCTTTTATTACAGCCTTCGGTGTCATATTGCAGAAGGGGATGATAAAAAGACGATTAGGGAAAGGAATCTTGGTGTTTTAGCTACTATGCCTGTTTTGCTTCACATAGAGTACCATAATGCTGGATAGTTAAGAATGGGGACTGGAGATGGAAATAGATTGCTTGTTACCACAGAGAATTTTTCCAATTATTATGTGCAGTTAGAATGCTTAGACCAATCAGCTTGTCCTATTTGTTTGAAAACGTATGCACAGTTTAGTAGCAACAAGTGTATCAGATCTGGTTTAGATGGATCCCACATACTAAACTTTCTGTTGACAATTCCACGTCCCTGTTTATGTTTTTCTAGTACATGGCTAGGCAGTTTTTTAAAAAGGGTAGAGAATTTAAAGCCGAGGTTGAGATACAGAAATTAAAAGACCATTTGGTCTCTTGCTATTCCAGTAGAAGCAATAGTGTCCAATCTCAAAGTTGACCTTAAGCCTACCATTTTTAAATCAGATGAATTTTTTGGAAAGGAAAAAGATTTTCTTAGAAACATCTTGGATTCACGGATTTTCTGAAAAATATACAAGTAGTTAAGCCTTCTGGACAGTAGCAAAATACTTTCTAAGAGGCAAGTGTCATGACACCACATATGAATGTACTTCTCTTAGTAATTTACCTCTGACTATTTGGTGTCTTAACACTTTGGTTTATATCTCAGGGCTTGTCTGCAAACCAAAACTGACATATTCTGTGGTTAACTTCTTTTTGTTGTTGTTAACAGAATGCTTTGCTTTTGTTATATTTCTTCTCTATTCTTTTGTCTTAAATGGGTTAATAACTAGTCTCCATGAACTTCCCTTTGAAAGAGCCTGTAAAAAGTCAGATGAGTCTAAACGTGTTCTTTGAAGTAGCAGCAAATTGGGGGTATATGTTCTGTTATATATAAAAAAAATGTCCTTGCTATTTTCTTACATTTAGCTATGCTAAATTGTATATAATTTGAGCTAAGACCATAGGAAATTCACCTTCTGCATGGTAAAACAACCCAATAAATATTCCACTTTGCTTAATAATGTACATATACTGCATTATTTTTTCTATTTGTAGATTAATTTAGTGGCAGATAATTGTCTGTTCCCTGCTGAAACAGAAGAATTCTAGTTTTGTGTGAACATTTTTGTGGTCTTATGGATAAGGTACATCAAGAGTTTTGCAGCAGTATTAGTGGTTCAGTGGCTGCACTTTATAATCAGTGTGCTAACTTTTGACAATGATTGGACTGTAGACCTTTTCAGATAGAGTCTGAGAGTAGCAAACAATGGAAATGTGCTGTAACTGAGTAACAATATACATCAGTTGCTTGTAAAATGTTTCACTGGGAACTTATTTTAGCTGTATTTTAAGTCAAACAGACTATGAAGAATAACCCACCTGTGCATCAGTTACTAGGTGCTGGAGGGTTTCTTACTATTTACAGGAACATTTTGTGTGGTCTTTGTTGTAAATTTTCAGAAGACTATATACTCTTACTTTGAAGGACTATTTTTTAATTATACCTCATTTAACTAACTAGTGTTCTAATATCTGGTAGGAAAACAGTGAGCCAGCCAAGAAGCAGTCTACAAAATCTACATATATGTTTTGTTTCCAACTAAAGGCATTATTGGGAAAGGTAGGAGGTATTTTAGTTTAGAATAGAGTATACATGACTTAACAATAGTGCAAAAACATGTATTCTTTCCCTGTCTTCATTAATGGATTTAGCTGTGCAATATATAAACTTTTGCCGAAGTTTCTATGTCAGAGATTATAATTCCATTTTACAGGTTCTGAATGTTGAAAATTTGTCTTAAGGCTTATAAAGTTCATCCTGTGATCAGTAAGTGATACATATACGCAATTTTATTTTTTTCTAGTTTATGACTTGGACTCCTTAATAAATTTTGTTTTTGATATTTACAAGTGAACGTCTTAAGATTAAATTTTTAAAACTGTGTTTCATTATGTTGGCTTACTTAGCTTTGACTTTTAAGCGCTTACTTATGTAACCAAGATTTCTTTAGAAAAAATATTAACAGAAAAGATATTCCTTTTTCCTTCTTGTTATATCCAAAAAAAGAAAAACAAAACAAAACAAAAGGGGTTCTAAAATTGAGATCCCTTGACCTGGAGAATAGTCTAATAAAAATTTCCAAATTCTAGAATAATGTAATTTGGCACTAGAATCAGGTTCAAGGTTTTTTTTTAATGCTAATAAAAATGAATGGCTGTCATATTCACTACGAAAAACTTTAAACAGCTGAAATAGACACAAAGTTTACACACAGTTATTTCAGAGCAATTTTCAGATTTTACTTTGTTTTTTTAAATCCTTGTGCCACATTCAGTTGCATTTTTGTTGCCAAGAACTAATTGGACTTTTTTTTTTTAAAAGTGAATTCAGTTATTGTTGTTCATTCCTATGGCCTGCCAGGCTTTATTTTGTTTGCAGCTGACAGAGCAAGTATTTTAATGCAAAAATACCATAAACTGACTAAAATCATACCCCTAAAGGAAAAGATCTAGTTTTCCCATGAAATTATCCTATTATGTGTGGTTAGGCACATTTTCTTTTTTGCTCTAGAGGCTTAATTAATGTGGAAAGCTCCTGCAGATAAAGTGGACCTATCTTATGTGGTTAAACTTGTTTAAGCCAGTTCATTAACTGTGTATTGATAGTGATGCTGTGGGGTTTTCTTTGTTATTGTTTGGTTTTTTTTAATGGATTTTATTCCAGGCGAATCCCTTTTTTTTTTTTTAACAGTACTTTTCATCTAAAATAAAGACTACATAATGAAAAGCTCCCTGAGTCACTGAAATGAATCTCACCCTTCATATTGTCTTCCCATTTGCTAGATGTATGTCTCTAAACATGATAGACTTGAAATCTTTTAGCAAGTAACACAGTCTGCCTGCATCTGCCTGCACCTGCCTACTCTAGTGATTTGACCACTCTGCTTGTGTCAATACCTAGTGGTAACCTTTTCATTTCAAACCCACCAGCATCTCAAACCGTCAAGGTTCTTCTCAAGTTTCGTATTTCCTTCCTCTCATTCTTGGAATACCTAGCTTTGATCTCCTGCCTGTAGGAAAACGTACTAATTTAAAGCCACTTTGGTTTCCACTCTTGACCACCTCTGGCCCACTGTGGATTCAGTGCCCTACATTCTTTCCACTTTGAGATCTTTACATTTATTTGGTCCATCTCTTCCCCTTTTCCCAGATTTGCTAACTTCTGGGCTGAGACTGAAGGAATAGTGGATGTTAAATAGCAAAACTTCATAAATTTGGATTGAGTACCTACAACCAGGAGAAGATAAAATAGATGAATGGGATCTTCTAAGAATCAAATCCCTATGCACATACAAAAACTTCTCCAACAGGGTAAAAAGGGAAGCCACAGACTGGGAAAAAGTATTTGGTAATGACATGTCTGATAAGGGACTTATATCCAGAATTTATAAAATACTTGAGCACCACAACAAGATAAAGGTAAACAAGCCAATAGAAAAATGGCACAGGATATGAACAGACACTTCACCAAAGAAGACATTCAGATGGCTAACAAGCACATGAAGAAATGTTCAAAATCCCTAGCTCTAAGAGAGATGCAAATTAAAACAATTATGAGATATCATCTCACCCCAGTCAAAATAGCAAAATTTAACAGAACAGCAAGCAATAAATGCTGGCGAGGTTGTGGAGAAACTGGAACCCTTATTCACAGTGGGAGTATAAAATGGTGCAACCACTGTGGAAGGTGGTATGGTGCTTTCTCAAAAAGTTGCAAGTGGAGATACCATTTGACCCAGCAATTCCACTACTGGGAATATACCCCAAAGAGACCATAAATGACATCCAAGCAGATATATGCACACCCATGTTTATCGCGGCTTTGTTCACAATAGCAAGGAGTTGGAAACAACCTAAGTGCCCATCAACAAATGAATGGATAGAGAAGCTGTGGTATATTCACACAATGGAATACTATGCTGCATTGAAAAACAAGGAACTCATGCAATAAAATGGGTGACCCTGGAGGACATTATGCTGAGTGAAGTATCTCAGTCATAAAAGGACAAATACTGCATGGTGCTACTGTTATAAAACAGGACTGACCTCGGGGTTGAGGAGAGACTGAGAAAGATGGGTTCAATAATGTATACTGCATTGAAACAGATGAGGGAGAAAACGGTTTAAAAGGGTTATGTGGTTAGGTATTTTTGTCATGACAGGAGTCCAGAACAAAGGCTGCATAGTGGAATGGACCTGGGGGAGGGTTTGTAAAACAAAGAATTTTACTTTTCCAAGAGGGTAGTGTACTAGGGGGGAGGGTTGGGAGGGGAAAAATGTGTAACAATGAATGGAAATTCAAAGTCTCTGTAAATTTTCATTAAAATTAATAATAAATTAAAAAAATACAAAAAAACTTGGATTGAGTACCCTTTTCAGATGCTTTCATAGCACCTGTACTTGCCTGTCTGGTTTCCCCCACTAGATTGTAAGTTTCATGGGGACAGAAGTATCTGTTTCATTGATGTACCGAGGTACCTAGCACTATGCCTAATATACTTAGTGTTCTTAGGTGCTGTCAAGTAAGACTCATAGCTATTCTATGAACAACAGATCTGAACTCTATCTTATGCCATCCTCATCATCTCTAACATACTTGAGCCCATTGTTTCAGTCACTTTGTCAATCCATGATGTCCTTTTCCAAGGAATTGCCTTTCTTAGAAACGTGCCCAATGTATGGAAGACTAAGCTTCACTATCCTTGCCTCCAAGGAGCACTCTGGTTGCACTTTTTCCAAGACCTATCTGTGTAATCTTCAATATTTTTTTTCCCAACACCACAACTCAAAGGCATCAATTCTTCTATCATTCTTACTCATTGTCCAGGTCTTTAGATACATAACAAGTGATACAAAAAGAGTATGGTCTGAATCAGGAGGACTTTAGTCTTTAAACTGTTGTTCCTTAATAATTTGGAGAAGTCCTGACAACAGACTTACCCAGAGCAACAACATGTCCTGATTTCCTGGATATCTACATCAAAAGAGTTGATTGTGGATCCAAGTGAGATAGAGTCTTCTTCTCTCCACCAATCATGATGTTGCCTATCAGTTCAGGGGTGAGTATCTTTGTTGATAGATATTTTAAATGAATATATAATTGTCTGAGTAAATATAAATTCATTAATACGGCCAGAAAACAGAAAAGCTCAAGTGCATCCATTAATAGTAATGTAAAAACCTTATTTGATAAGTTGCTAAAATGAACTATTATTCCTTGCCCCTTTCCTTGTCAAGTCTGGAAGCATTCTCAGTCATCTGGCCATATCACCTACCTCCTTCCACCATCATCTTTTAGGGATTTAGCTGTCTACATCACTTATTTTTAAGGTTGTGGGAGAAAGTAAGTTTATAAAACAAAAGGGTTGCTACTCAAATTATCCACTGTAAACAGAATTATTGGAATTAGCATAAAAGTGCTTTGTAAAATAATCTCTCTCTTATTTAGCTCATTGCCAATTGAGTCAGAAGGCTTTTTAAATCACAAGGGAGGAGACAACTCATCTTTCTCCCTCTGAGCTGCTGGTGGATTCCACTACCAGGAAACTGTGGGCTTCGGGATAGCAGCACAACTCCCTACAGGTTTGTTGTTAGGTTCCATCAGGTTAACCTATGAACAACAGATCGGAATCTTGCCCATCCTGCACCATCCTCATGACCTCTGATATGCTTGAGCCCATTGCTACAGTCATTATTTCAAGCCATCCGGTATTCTCTGACCCTCTACCTTTGCCAACGTAATGTTTTTCCAAGCATTGGTTCCTCCTGACAAGATTCTCTAAGTATGTGAGACAAAGTTTCATCATCCTTGTGCAACTCAGTACCACAAAGCCACCAGTTGTTGTGTGTGCTTTCAACTTGAAACCAACCCACAGCTGACCCTCCTGCAAGTTTTCAGAGGCTATTAATTTCACAAGAGGAGACTGTCCAGCCTTCTCCAGTAAAGCAGCTGGTGGAATCAAACCACACAGCACAGCTTCTCACCATGAGGCCACCAGAGCTCCCCCTTGATGGAGACTAGAAGTCAGAGATTGATGAGGAAGGAGATGTTATTATTGTCAGAGATTGATAAGGTTGTTTTGTTGTTGATTGCCTTCGAGTTGAGCACGACTCATAGCGACCCTATGAACAGAACAAACGTCCTGAAGCCCCTCTACAACTATTGACATTTATCAAAGTTCATAGAGTCTCCAGAGGCATGTTGTTTAGGAAGTGGATGCCACTCCTGCTTCCAAACCTGTCATAGAATGTTATTGGTTGAGTCACCTGCGATGCATAGTGACCCTATGTACAGCAACTCTGAACCCTTCCCTGTCCTGAGCCAGTCTCACTAATTCTGACACACCAACCCCCATTGCCGCAGTCATTGTATCAATCCATCTCTTCAGAGGTCTCCCTCTCCTGCGCTGTCCGTCCACCCTTCCAAACATGATGTCCTTCTCCAAGGATCGGTCTCTCCTTGCCACATGCCCAAAGTATGTGAGGCAGAGCTTCAAAATCCTAGCCTCCAAGGAGAGACTTGGTTTCACCCTCTCCAAGACAGACCAATATTTGTTTTCTTGGCAGTCCATGGTATGTTCAAGACTCTTCCCCAGCACCACAACTCAAAGACATCTATCCTTCTGACATCTTTAGTCATAGTCCAACTCTCTGAAGCATAACAAATAATTGAGAAGGTCATGGCTTGGATTAGGCACACCTTTATATCTAGACTGACATTGTTGCTCGTCAGCACTTTGGAGAGGTCCATGACAGCAGGTTTTCTCAATGCAATTTGTCTTTTGATTTCCCAACTGCTGGTGTTAATTAAGAGTGTTAATTGTGGATATGAGCAAGCTGTAATTGCTAACAACCTCAATCTTTTCTTCATCTATTACAGTGCTGCCAGTTGGCCCAGTGGTGAGAATCTTTGTCTTCTTGATGTTGAGTTTCAATCCATATTGAAGACTACAGCCCTTACCTTGTGCAGCAAGTGCTTCAGGTCTTCTTCAGTTTCAGCAAGCAAGGTTGTGTCATCTGCATATCGTAGGTTATTAATGAGCCTTCCTCCAACCTTGATGTCACACTCCTCCTCGTAAAACCCTGCCTCTTAAATGATCTGCATACAGATTGAAAAAAATATGGGGGCAAGATGCATCCCTGACACAATCCTTTCCTAATTTTGAACCATGCAGAGTTTCCCTGCTCTGTACAGAGGACAGCTTCTTGGTCTGAGTACCGGTTTCATATAAGCACGATCAAGTGTTCTGAGATTCCCATTTTCGTCAAGGTTAGCCACAGTTTATTGTGATCCAGTCAAATGCCTTTGCATAGTCAATGAAACACAGATAGACATCCTTCTGGTATTCTCTGCTCTCTGCCAAGATCATATGACATGGGCAGTAATATCCCTAGTGCCACGACCTCTTCTAAACTCAGCTTGTATTTTTGGTAGTTCTCTGTCAATGTACAGTTCAAGTCTTTTCTGGATAATCTTTAGCAGGATTTTGCTAGTGTGTGACATTAGTGATGTTCGAGAACTTCCACACTCTGTGTAGGGTCACCTTTTTTTTGGAATGGGAATAAATATGGATCTTTTCCATTCAGTTGGCCATGTAGTTGTCCTCCAGATTTCTTGGCACAACTTGGTGAGCACATGCAGGACAGCATCTCTTTGCTGAAATAACTCAATTGGTATTCCATCAATTCCTAGGGGTTTATTTTTTTACCAAGTTCTTCAGAGCAGCCTGCACTCCTTTATCACCATTGCCTCTTGATCATATGTTGTTTCTTGAAATTCTTGTGTCAGCCAATTCTTTTTGTTACAATGACTGTATACTTCCATCTTCTTTTAATGCTTCCTGAATATTATTGTCGCAGGCAAATCAGAGGCCTACTGAAATAAATTTCCTGAATACTTAGGAGGGAAAAAATAAGACCACTTGGCCAAAACCTTAAAAAGGACAGCTTCTTCCACCATTTCGCCCTTTTACTTATCCTCCAATGGAGCTGGGAGTTCCCACATCTATGCAAATAGGCAAAATAGATTTTTAACAAAGAATCCTGCCTCCGCCTTGCGCTAAATCTTCACTTAGTTGACCTAGGATCATCCCTTGCGCTCAGTGCGTACAGCTCTAGTAACCTAATCAATATAGGTGAGAGGTTAGGACTCAAATGCTCAAGTCGTAGGGGTTCCGCCTCTGGATCTCTATGTGCTCAGAGGACCACAGAGACGGGAGAGGATCTGACGGGGAAGAAAGCTCAGTCCCGTGGCCACGCCCCGCACCCCACTGGCATCGATCCCCATCCTTTGCCAGTGCACCTAAGCTCCCGCCTTTGACCGGTCACATTCTCCGCCCCTTTCCCCCCCGCTCTGCGCCCTTCCTCTGTGCTTCTTAGTGCCAGGCCCAGCCTCGCGCCAAGGACCGCCCCCGTAGCCAAGACCTCCCTATTCTCGACCCCACCCCGCTTCTTTGTAGCCCCGCCCTCCCCGTTCTCTTCCTCCACTGGCTCGACACCCTACGGTAGGGCAGCTCCCTTTCACATTCCTGGCTCCGCCTCACACCAGCCTCCGCCCCTCCTTGGCCACGCCCCTTCCTAGCCTCTCCCTTTCCCGCTCTCGACCCTGCCAGGCCCCGCCCCCCTCCGCTCCATGTCCCGCCCCTCCCTAGCCTCGCCCTTTCCTCGTTTTCGGCCTCGCCCGGTCCCGCCCCGCCCTGAGCCAGGCCCCGCCCCTCTCACCTCAGTCCTTAGACTGGCAGCCAGGTCGGCTTCTTCGGTCGCCATGACGGCGGCGGTGTTCTTCGGCTGCGCTTTCATCGCCTTCGGGCCTGCGCTCGCCCTCTACATCTTCACCATCGCCACAGAGCCGCTGCGCATAATCTTCCTCATAGCCGGGTGAGACGGCTGCGCCGGGAAGCCCGGACGCCGATACCCCGCTCCCGTGCCAGGCGCTGCCGAGGACCCCCAGTGTCCACACCTAAGGGCCCTGCCTGATAGGGCTTCGGGGGTCAGCTGGGTTAGGCGAGAGCGGAGGTCCCCTTACCCGGGCCCTCGGCCTCCTCGACGCGGGGTCTTTGTGCCTATGGGTGGGTTTTAATGAGGACGGATAGCCCTTAAAATGTTAAGAAAAAAATGTGGATAAGTTCATATATGCATCCCCCACCCCGTCTTTGTGGACAGTACCCAATTTTCCCCTCAGATTCTCAAAGACATCTGTAATCCCCAAAGGGTTAAAACTATTAGAATCTAGGGCAGTAATACTCAGCTTGTGCGCATTACGAGCTCCCAGGACCTTTAAAACCACGGCCAGCTTGTCTAGGAGCTGCGATTCGGTCTTTTTAAAAGTACTCCCAGGTGATTCAGATGTGCAGCTAAGGGGTAGGGGAAAACCTGTGAAAATCCCGAAGCTCTTGACTGTGAAAGTGCTTATCTTTCAGGGAGTTTAGTAAATACCGAACTCTGGTGGTGAACGTGGGCATAATCCCAGTTCTCACCAACACTGACCTCCGTCCGTTTCTCTGTAGTCCACTTCCACATAGTTCAGGGCTACTTCCTTTTCAGAACTGAAAATGCGGCACTGAACGTACCATTTCGTAAAATAACAGTTTGGGGCAAGAAGTGTGTAAGCTTGTTGTGATCATGAACATCACCGTGGGTTATTGTAAAACCCAGGCCTGGAAAATTGATCTGGATCGGAGAGAGCACAGGTTTCCAACCTATGGATTTTATGTCAGTCATTCCATGACTAATTGTCCAGGCATTTCCCCTCTTCCCCCCATGGAAAAGACACCATTGTATTTGTAGCTCTCTGACCATTAAATCAATAACTTTTGGTAGGTTTTGAAGATAAATGGCAGTGTTGACTAGTATAGTTTGTTGTTTTGGTGCTTCATGGTCACTGCATTAACTAAGAAAAATAGCACATTTCCCACCTTGACAATCTTTGAAGATATATTTGGAAACTGTGTGGACACTGAAGGAGAGTGATTGTTGGGAATAAATCCCACATTCCTTTTGGACCACTCACCAAGCAGAGTACCAATACCTGACCTAGATAACATTCCTCACTCCATTAAAGCATCTCTGAATCTCTTCCTTCTGAAGCAAGTTTTCCCTTTTCAACCATTTTTAAATTTGTTCATGCTGACTTGTGACTTTCCACCATTTATCAGCGCTTTCTTCTGGTTGGTGTCTCTGCTGCTCTCCTCCCTCATTTGGTTCCTGGTGGAAACCATCAATGGCCACAAAGAGGGACCAGTGCAGAAATACCTGCTTATCTTCGGGGTGCTGGTCTCAGTCTTTATCCAAGAAGGCTTCCGGTTTGCATACTACAAGCTATTAAAGTAAGTTGGAAATCTTTGCCTCTCTCCACCCTCAGGTTGCCTTTGAATTATGGTTTAGAAATTTGAAGAAGCATAATGTATTTGTGGTCCTAGGCTTTACTATATAAGCTTATTGATCTATTTTTCAGCTTGAAACATTTGAGTATTTTTTTAACTGTGGCATTAATTCAGAAAATATTTCTGAAAAAAAAAAGAAAATATTTCTGAAGTATCTACTTCATAACTAGCCTAGGTACCAGAGAATGAAGTGGGAATAAATAAACAACGAATGAACAACAACAACAAAATGCTTTATATGTTAGGAGGCAGTAAAAGCTATGCAAAAAAAAAAAAAATGGAATTGGTCATTAAACAATAAAAACCATTTTAGCACTCTAGATTCTTAGAATTTAATCTGTTTCTCTTTGCCACAAAATAAAAACAAAATATTGCCACCATGACCCTTGTTCATTTTCCTGAGGCAGAAAATCTTACTGGGAGAAGACTTTCCATCTTTCTCCTGAGGAAAAGCGGGTGAATTCTGACCAGTGACCTTTCAGTGCTATCATCACCTTGTGGAGAGTATGCCTGTCATTATCTTGACTGAATTAGGGCAATGCAGGGATTTGTTTGTGATATTTCATACGGCTTTAAATCTGTAAGAAAATAGACTTAGAAAAATGCCAAGGAAAAAACTTGGATAGAAACTCTTTTTTTTTTTTAAGGGTTTTTTCTTTTTTTAGGATTCCACTTTTTTCCCCTTCCTTTTTTTTATTGTAATTTTAATGAAAGTTTGCAGAAAAGTTGGATTCATTCATTGTTACACATTTTCCTCCCTACCCCCACCCCCAGTTCACTTTTTTGGAAAAAAAAAAATCATTGTTGTATAATTTTTCTCCTTCCCTAAGTCCACTTTGCAATGCACCTCTTCTTCTGGATTGTTGTCATACAGATAATGCCTAATAATATATTCATTCCTTTTAAATAGTTCTTTCCTTCATCTGTTCCAATGCAGTGTTCATTATTTATCCTTTCTTTTCTCAGTTTCCCCCAAACCCCATGTCAGTCCTATTTTGAAACAGTGGTGTTATAAGCAATGGTGGTATTTGTCCTTTTGTGACTGAGATATTTCACTCAGAATAATGTCCTCCAGGGTCACCAATGTTGTGTTCCAATATTTTGAGTTCCTTATTTTTCAGTGTTGTGTAGTATTCCACTGTGTGAATGTACCATAGTTTTTCTGTCCATTCATTTGTTGATGGTCACTTAGGATTGCTTCCATCTCTTTGCTATTATGAATAACACTGCAATAAACATGGTATGCATATGTCTGGTTGGATGGCAGCTCTGATTTCTTTAGGGTATAATCCTAGTATTGGAATTGCTGGGTCAAATGATATTTCTATTTCCAACTTTCTGAGAAAGCACCAGACCGCCTTCCATAGTGGTTGTACCATTTTGCATTCTCACCACAGTGAATAAGAGTTCAAATCTCTACACCCTCACCAGCATTTGTTGTTTCCTGCCTTGTTTAACTTTGCTATTGTTACTGGGATGAGATGGTGTCTCATAGTTGTTTTAATTTGCATCTCTAATAGCTAGGGGTTTTGGACATTTCTTCATGTGTCTGTTTGTCATCTGAATATCCTCTTTGGTGAAGTGGATACTCCCTTTTAGGTAGCAGGAAGCAGATCATCTATAGAGCATGAGGACATCACATGAAACCACTGGTTTGAAATGCAGCTTGAACTTACATCATTATTTTGTCCTAGGCAGTCATGAGATTGGTTTTGATTATGTGGTAAGACTAATAACTAATAGTATGACTAACGTGCCATCATTTTCCCTTTCTGCAAATGAGGTAACAAAGACTTTCTTTGAATTATATAGACGTAACCAAGTTAGAACTTCAACAGCATCTCTTACAATAGACCTGATTATATCTTCTGGCCAAAATGCTGGACCCATATTGTTTCACTTTTTGCTTTGAATGTCAGATGCCTTAACTTTAAAATTGAAAGCTAGGAGCATACTGTTTTGAAGCAAACTATATTTTAGCACAGATTTTAAAATTAAATTCCCGTGAATCCCTGGAAACATTAAAATTAAGTGATACCAAAGAGAACATTTACATTTTCTGTAGGAATACACCATCCCTAACAGATGGACAGAGAGCTCTAGTGGTGTAGTCCTTAGAGATTTGTGCTGTTAACCCAAAAGCTGAGCTTCTGTAGTGGAACTAATCTTATCAGCTGCTCTGAGGGAGAAAAATGGACAGTGTCGCCCTGGGGGATTCATAGCCTTGGAAACCTGTTGAAAGGTCAGTTATGAGTCAGAACTGACTCAACAGCAGTGAGAAAACAGATGGCTCCAGCTGTGGCTGACTGTTTCTACTATATAACAGTTACCACCCTTTGACTTTTTAATTTTAATTATAGAATGTTAAGATACTGGGGGGGGGGGTGGATCTGCCTTCTAACAGATACATGAAATATCTGCCACCTATTTGTCCTCATGACCTTTTCAAGGCTAAATAGTTCTTGTTTCATTATTGGGATTCCAAAAGTCTTGAATATGGCTTCGAAACCTTGCATTCTCTGGTCCCCTTGATATGCCTCTTTGGGTCATTACCTGGATTCAGGGCTTGGCACATACTCTGCTGAATGGTCTGGTGAGCCTGACCTGATTTCACCATCACTGGGGACTGCACTCTTTATTGTATTGTTTTTGCCTGTCAGATACATCAGTGATTCATGTTGACATTGGATGTTCATATGTAATTGTTCTAATTTGGAAAAGAAAAATAAAGCCTAAAAACAAAAGTTTCATTTCTAGTATTGAATACCATAGTTTGTAAGACATAGGTTTAGAAATTCAGGGGATTCTGAAACTTTTATTTCCCCCAGAAAACCTAAATCAGGTACTCTTCTTTACTACCTCATTTCTTTATGATTTCAACTTGAAATGGTAACCTTTAATGGTAGTGAGCTTATGGTTCCAAAGGATCGTGAGCTGGTTTTCAGTGAAGCATAAGGAGAGAATTACAGATGTCAACCTGAAATTCATGCCAGAAACTTCAGAGCAGTCTCTTTGGCTGCCTGGGGAAACCATGTTTGCATGTAGGCAAGGCCTTTTTGCTATTTGCAGCAGATGATAAGTAAATATCTTTTGTAAAGATCAGCCCAGAGCTGATTCTTCTTTGGCAGAGGTTAAAGATGTCCCAGGTATTTAACTTCATCTAACTGCTGTACTGCTCCATCACTAACATCCACTGCTCCTCCCCTTAGCACCCTCCCTCCCGTCTTTGGCTTGTAATTCACTGCAGTCCATGGTATATTCAATACTCTTCTAAAGGACCACAGCTCAAAGGCATCAGTTCTCCTTCTGTCATCCCTAGTTATTGTCCAACTTTCTGATGCATAACAAACAATTGCAAAGACCATAGCCTGTATCAGGTGTACCTTAGTCTCCAGACTGACATCATTGCTCTTCAGTACTTTGGAAAGGTCTCTAACAGCAGACTTTCCCAATGCAATTTGTCTTTTTTTAATTTCCTGGCTCCTGGTCCCAAAAGTATTGATTGTGGAGCCAAGCAAACTAAAGCTGTTAACAATCTCAATCTCTTCACCTTCTATCATGATGCTGCCAATCAGCCCAGTAGTGAGAATTGTTGTTTTCTTGATGTTGAAGCTGCAGTCTTTGACCTTCTGGAGGAAGACTCATCAACAGTCTGCATTATGCAATTGCCACAACCTTGCTTGCTGAAACTGAGGAGGACCTGAAGCACTTGCTGAAAAAGATCAGAGACTGCAGCCTTCAATGTGGATTGAAGCTCCACATCAAGAAAACAAAGATTCTCACCACTGGACTGATTGGCAGCATCATGAAAGATGGTGAAGAGATTGAGATTGTTGTCAGCTTAGTTTGCTTGGCTCCACAATTAACACTCTTGGCACCAGCAGCCAGAAAATTGTAAGTCATATTCCAGTGGGAAAGTCTGCTGTCAGAGACCTCTCCAAAGTACTGAAGAGCAATGATGTCAGGTTGGAGACTGAGGTGCACCTGATACAGGCCATGGTCTTTGCAGTTACTTGATATACATCAAAAAGCTGGACAGTAACTAGGTATGAAGAAGGAGAATTGATGCCTTTAAGCTGTAGTGCTGGAGAAGAGTATTGACTGTACCATGGATAGCCAACAGGTTTGACATGGAGAGGGTGAAACCAAGCTGCCCCTTGGAGGCAAGGATTCTGAAGCTTCATCTTACATACTTTGGACATGTTGCAAGGCAAGATTGATCCTTGTAAAGGGAAATCATGCTTGGGAGGATGAAGGGTCAGCGCAGAAGAGGAAGACCCTCAATTAGATGGACTGATTCAGTGACTGGGCTAATGGGAGTAGGCGTGTTGCAACAGTGAGATTGGCACAGGATAGAGTAGGGTTTAGGGCTGTTGTACCCAGGGTTTCTATGAGTCGCAGGCAACTTGATAGCATATAACAACAACAACAACAATTTGGTGCCAAGATTAAAATGTACAGCATTTAAGTGAATTCTCATAGGTATGTTGAATTGAATCAGATCTTTGTTGTCTAGTATACATTTATATATGGGTTGGCCTTAGGGACAGTCACTTAATTGTAAATGAATGAAGTGTAACTTTCCGATTGACTGATGTGTGGTAAGAAATCTGCTTGTGGCCACAATTGGAAGCTCTTTTTGCATTAATTATGTTTAAAAAATCCCACTGATAACTTGTACATTGGCTGAAATGAATTAGATTTTTTAGTTTTTTTAAATGGATTTTTTTGTAATTTCTTTCATTTTTGTCGTATAATTCTTATACCATAAACATATGATAATAATAAATAATTTTCCATTTCCAGAAAAAAATAAGATAACAATTAGTGGTAATTTCCTAAAGGCATAAGTTCTTTTTTTAAACGCCTAAAATGTTGTATATAATTTCTGTGTGTATGCTTTCTCCTCTTCTTCTTTTAAGATGCACATATGGAAAAGAGTCATAACAAATAAGGAAGTCTAAGTGATTTTCTCTGTAGTTTTTCAAAGTTTATATTATTAAAACCAGGAGTTGTTTGTTTCTCAGAAACACAGCATATTAATGCAGACAGACTATTTTCATTTCAGTAAAATAGTCAAATTAAAACCATTGCTTCTTGCATCATCAGTCCTGTATCCTAACCATCAGGAACATGGAAACAGGTCATGTTTTATACTTTTGCACCTCCTAATGTTAACAGCTAAAGCCATAAACCTTTCCTCCCAAAAAACTACAGCAGAGAGGGAGCAAATTTATTAAACCTCTAAATTTACTTAATGCATTTGTGATAGTAGAGCTAACTTTGTGATTCCAAATAACAGAAATCTTGTTCATTATAGAAAAATTGATATAAATTAAGAATCATCCAAAATTTGCTGATTTTACTATAATGATGTGAGCAAAAGATGGGCAGTCTCCTCCCATGTGAGGTCCAGCTCAGGAAATCCAGTGGATGGTCAGCTTTCAGTCAGTTCTGACTCAACACAAATGAGAGAATTGCTATTGATGCATTTACTGATGGAGAATCGTACTATTATATGCCTCATTAGCTTTAATTAGCCTTTAGTTGTGCAGGTAAGTATCTACTTTGAAAATTTGACATTCGAGTTGGCTGCTCCAGAGAAGGGAAAACATCACTTACCTTTTGACTCCTATCCTCTTCACTAAATGGTACTTTCTAATGGAGAGCACTGAAATGGCAGGGGGTTTCCTGGAAGTCTAGAAAAGCAAAATGCCCTTTTCATTCTGCTTATTACTATGTTCGTTGAATTCTTATTGCCTTAATGTAATCAATGATATTTACATTTATGTACAAAACAGACCAAGTCTAGGGCACTCTTGGGGCCTAGTCCACCAGTTATTTCAAGGGAGACAGGCAATCTCCTTGCATGCAATTTGCAGACTCTAAAACCCCTTTGCAGAGCAAGCTAGAAATCAGTTCCAAATCCATGGCACATGACAACAACAATGCATATGCTGATTATGAAAAGTAAAATTAACAAAATACCCAGAAAAGAAATATGTTTCAGTTAATATTCTGCTCTTAAAATTAACCTAATGTCCTTTAGTTTGAGCCCTTGTCAAAAAATCATTCTTAAATGTTTCTCTACCTTTGTTGCTTTAATAAATATGTTTCATAGTAAATATAATCTAAATATTTTTGAGACAGGTCTTAATATTATTGCAGGCTTTTCTAGACAAAAATAATCAGCAATAGTAGTGGTGGTGGTTGTTGAGAAAGCTGACTCATCACTGACCTTCCAGTGGGTTTTCAGAGGCAGTAAATCACACTGGGAGGAGATAGCTCATCCTTTTCCTGCAGAGCAGCTTGTGGATTCAAACCACCTGCCTTTGGGATTGCAGTGTAGCTTCTTACCATGTCACCAGAGCAATAGTGGTAGTAGTAGATTTAATTAGCCAGAGCTAGAATTCCTAACATATTTGCATGCGAGGAGAAGAGAGTTCCTATAAATTTGCAACCAAAATATAGACGTCATTCTGAAGATCATTTCTTACTAAGTAGTATTCTGTCCTTTGATCCACATACTCAATTTATGTTTCTAGTGTAGCATGTTATTTTTCAGGATACAATAATAGTAGGGGCTTCTCTTATTCCTACAGTGTAACAAGAGATGTAAAACAAGCATGTATACTCTAAAATAAAAAGATCATATGGGTAAGTATCCATCTGAGCATCCACATCATCACTGTAATGGAATTTACGCGTGGTAAATCACTGATACAGTGGGTATCAGTGATTACCAACCATTGGGAAGCCCAGCTTCTTTAAGAAGTTGCTACTTGAACCGGACTTTGGAGGATGAGTAGAATTTAGGTTTGATGGAGTAGAAAGTGGAAGCGTTAGAATAAGTATATCTCAGGTAGACTATATAACAAAATACCATCAGCATAGGGATCAAGATAGAGGACTTTGTGGAGAGAAAAAAAGTTCAGTGCAGGTGCCATAGGATATTGAGTATGTACTCAGAAGTTATATGCAATGGAGTCAACTGTGACCTGCAGCAAACCTTGCCCTATCCTGCACTGTGCGCATGGTCTCCAATACACTCAGCCCCATTGTTACAGTCACTTTTATCAACTCATCTCATTGAGGATCTTCTTCTCTTTCTTTGATTCTCTGTTGTTCTCAGCAGAATATCTTTTTCCAAGGACTGGTCTTTCCTGATGACATGCCCAAAGTATATTAGGTGAAGTTTCATTAAGTAGTGCCTTTTTTAAAATTTATTTTATTTTATTATTATTTTTTGTGCGTGTACCGTCAAATCAGATCTGACTGGTACAGGAGGAAATTGTCCCTCCCTCTCCGGCAGAGCATCTGGTGGATTTGAACTGTGTACCTCTGGGACTGCAGTACAGCTTCTTGCCACTAGGCCAACAGAGCTCCCCAAGTAGTGCTTTTTAAAACAACAACAGACTCTTGACTTTCTAAAAGCTTGTTCACCTTGGACTTTTTTTCTCTATATAAAGCTCTGTAAAAAAGGCAAGGCTTAATTGGAGAGTTTGGTTGATTTTAGTTAATTGAATATTTCTAGGGTTTTTTTTTATTTTATTTCAGACTTAGTGTATAACTAAATCAATGAAGTATCTTATGTATTTTCCTATACACTGCTTTTCTCTTTTTAGAAAAAAATAAAATGACATCTGTGCTTGTATTTTAGAAAAGCCAATGAGGGTTTGAAGGCTATAAATCCGGATGAGACGGTACCCTCTATGCGATTGCTGGCATATGGTAAGTTAGAACTAGATGGCGTCCTTAAAAAAACTAACAAAAATCTAGCAGTTTTAATAACTTTTACCTTTGAATATTTAAGATAATTTTTTTCCGCTTTGGCCTGTTTTTTGTATACATTGTTTGTTTTCCCAACTTGCGAAGCCACTTATATGAAGGAAAGCAGTTGCAGGTGAACTTTAGCTATATGTTTATTAACTAGTTTTGCTTTGCTTTATTAATAGGTTTTTTTGGGGGTTTTTTGGTAATAGTTTTGAAAGGTAAATTTGTAACATATATACATGTGATGAATGTACAGGGATTGATGAATAATGAGGAGTTACGCTTCAAGGCAGTTCAGATCTACCAGCTGCTGTGCAGGAGAAAGATGGACAGTCTCCTCCCATGCAATTAACTGCCCCTGAAAACCCACTGGAGGGTCAGTTATGACAGTTCTGATTCAATCAGCACCTAACAACAACAACATGGTAGTTAAGGAGTCCCATTGGCCCACACTGTTAGGCAGTTGACTAAAAGCAGCAGTGTGTGTGGGAAGGGAGAGTGGGGGGAAACATGGTGATCCCAAAAATTATAGCCTCCAAATCCCATCTGTCAGTTCTCTGTCAAATGGGGTCCTTATGAATTGGAATAAATGTATGGACTCAGGTCACTCTAGTTAGCTACCAGTTTCTAAGTGCTGTGTGTCTGCTAACTTCTCTGGGTGTTTACCAGGAATTTGGCTGCACTAGGAGAACTTGGTATTAATGTATTTCATACCACTGCATGTTTGTCTATCGGAATTATGTTTAAAGATTGATCCTTAGATCAGGTCACTTGGTTTGGCTCAGGAATCACTCCTTAAAATACATAGCCATACATTAAGCTCAGTTCCAGCCCTAAGCTATCAAACTAAACTACTAAGTCTGTAATCATAAATCAAAGTCAGAGGTTCAGCACCGTATTTTGTTCTCTACCACCTATGTCTTCTGCCTCTCTTGAACTTCATTTTCATTTCTCTGCCACATGACGCTATGAATTTCCTTTCTCTTTCCCTTCTCTCCATCATTTAGCCAAGTGCCACCTTTTCAATGCCAGCTTTTTAGTGCTTCATCCACAACATATGCACTCTTGCCTCTCCAACAGAACTGTCATCCTGCCCAATAAAATTATACCCGTTACTGTTTTGTTGAAGCCAAGTCTGATTCATAGCAACCTCCATTGGATTCCAAGGCTGTAAATCTTTACTCAAAAACATTGCCTATCTTTCTCTGGAGGAGCAACTGGTAGATTCAAACTGCTAGTTTTTTTGGTTAGCTACCCAGCATGTGATTTGAGGGAAATTTTAGCACAAAAAAGAGTTTAATGGTGTTTTTTTTTTCTCTCTTTTTAAAAAGTTTCTGGCTTAGGCTTTGGAATCATGAGTGGAGTGTTCTCCTTTGTGAATACACTGTCAGACTCCCTGGGGCCAGGCACTGTGGGCATCCACGGAGATTCTCCCCAGTTCTTCCTTAATTCAGGTACGTACTGAATGCTGTGTTAGATTTCTGCTTGGTCTTCATAACATTTTACCAATTCAATATGCTCATCTTTTCTTTGAGTTCACTCTTATTTTGTGAGAAGGACATTTAAAAATGCAAACAAGGTAGTGGCTTCCCCACAGCAGTGAGGTGAGCCAGAGCAGGAGCTGAGACAAGCTGTCCTCCTTGTTGGAGTTCACTGGTGTACAGGTTCAGAGTTGAGTTATATCCTCTAACAGCAAGATACTGTTTGGCATTGAAAAGAGAACCAACCTTACTGCCATCAAATAGATTCTGGCTCATAAAAGCCCTATAGGACAGAATAGAACTAGCAAGCTCTGATAGCCTAGTGGGTAGAGTTGTGCTGCCAACACTAGCAGCTCCACAGGGAAAAGATGGGCAGTCTCCTCCCATGTGCTTCAGAGCCTGTGAAAAAACTGATGGAGGGTCCGCTATGGGTCTAGTCGGACTCAGCAGCAGTAAGTGAAATTGTTGAGTTGATAGTGTTTCCAAGAGAACTCTGATGGCCTAGTGGGTAGGGAGCTGTACTGCTAACCTAAAAGTGACCCCTCTCAGATGGTTTGAGTCTACCACCATCTCCAAGGTGATGGGCAGACTATTCCTATTACAGCATCTGAAAACCTGCTGTGAGTTGGTTCCTACTCCACAGCAATGAATTTTAAGTTTATAGGATTTCCAAGGCCGTAAATCTGTACAGAAATATAGGGAAAGATAGGTTTTCTACTGTGTAGCTTACAGCCTCTGAAAACCTGCTGGAGGGTCAGCTATTAGTGAACTCAAAGGCACATAATAACAATAACAATAATGTGTCAGTTACTGGAAGGCATATCATTTCAAATTGAAATTTTATAAACCAAGTTCTAAACAGCAGCAAAGAAATTGTTTGCAATTCTGGGTAAAAGAAGAGCCACTGGTGAATTAATTTCAGTTAGGGATTTCTTTAAAGGAAATACTTGGTTTTGTAGAGAGGAAAATCCCCAAATCTAAACAAGATGTTTGCTTTCACTTTTTCTTTGAAAATTGTAATCTTGAATATCTTATTTTTCAAATTTTTTTTAAGGATCTGAGGGAAAATTGCACTTTAGTGAGGGGACTGGTTTTTAAATGAGGATATAATTCTAATTGAGCAAAATCTTTTAGTATGGAAAACTAATGGGGTGGTGTGGAGCTGGCTAGATATCGGAATGGCTCAGTAGCACTCCTCAGAAAAGTGGCTTTAAAACCCTATTGAAAGTGACTTTTTGCTTCATATCCTAGAAGAGAAGCTATAAAAGGGAATCCTTTATTCAGAAATGTGGCTTTTCAGTTTACCAGTGGAGTAAATGTGTGTACAACCAGAACTTAACCAACCCCCTGCTGTGTAATCCAGTGCAACTCCTAGAGATTCTGCAGGAATAGCCCGTAAAGTTCCTAAGACTGTAAATCTTTACATAAGCAAATGGACCTGCCTTTCTCCTGTGGGGTGGCTGTTGGGTTCAAGCCACTGACCTTTTGATTTGGCAACTCGGTGCTGTAACCACAGCACAGTAGAGCTCCTAGTGTCTGGGTCCTGTGTATGTTGGATGTGTTGAACTCTCCTGCGGGCAGGAGGTGTATTTAAGGTCCAGGGTCTGTGCCTTTGGCGTCTGTGATCTGTGTGTGTGGGCACTAATGGTTGACTGTCTTTCAGCTTTCATGACTCTGGTGATCATTCTGCTGCATGTCTTCTGGAGCATTGTGTTTTTTGATGGCTGTGAGAAGAAAAAGTGGTCCACACTGCTTGTTGTTCTCCTGACCCATCTACTCGTGTCAGCCCTGGTGAGTACCATCCCCATGTTCAAACTGGTTTTGAAACACAGTCCTTTATCTCTCAAATGTTATCACTGAATGGCAGATTTCATGAAATTGACTTTTTAAGTAATTATTTATTAAATTGTTAAAATTTACGTACTTGCAGAAAAGTTCGTGAATCCGAAGAGTGCATCTTTATGAATTTTCACAGTGTGAACGCACCTGTCTAATAAGGACCTAAATGAAAATTGAAACAATCTAGTGCCCAGGGGTCTCCTCATGCCACTTGGCCATCACCGCCCTCTTAGGGATATCTAACTCAGTTTAGCTCTGCCTTTTAGTGTTTTATGTGCAATTTGCTTTTGTGTCTGCCTCATTTTGATGAATATGATGTTTTTAAAATACTCTGTAGCTAGATACTGTGTATTCATTGCACTATAACATTCATTGCTTATTCTGTTGTGCAACTATTCCAAGATTTGGCCATCCATTCTACAGTGGAGAACCATTGATGATGCTTTTTACAGATTATAACTAGTACATTTTTATTTAAAATTACTATTTCTTGGTGAACATATATGTACATTTCCTTTTTATATTACTTAGTAAAATTGTTAAGTCATGTACATGTTCAGCTGCTCACACCCCCAGTATTCCAGAGCAGTTGTGTTGATTTCTGCTTCCACCAATAATTTATGAGATACATTTTTTCCACTTTTCTCTAGCATTTGCATAGTCTGTAAGGGAATTTCACTGCCAATCTCAGGGTAGGCAATTCAAATCCACTAGCTGCTCTATATGGGAGAAAGATAGGCAGTCTTCCGTGTGATTTACACCCTCTGAAAATCCACTGGAGAGTCACCTAAGTTTCGGTTCCCACTCTCAGGTACATAGTAAAAAATACTTCCACCCTTGATGTGGCCTTAATTTTGGTGCTAGCTATGCTACTAGGTGTATTGTGATACTACATTATAATTTGTGTTTATCTGAAGATTATTGAGGTGGAGGATTTTAGCATGTTTTTTGACTAGTTGGATCATTTTTTGTGAAGTACCTGTAAATTTTTTGCTCATAATTTTATTAGGTAGTGTGTCTTTTTTCTTTTTACGAGTCTTTTAAATTTACTATATATAAGACTCTTTGTCAGATGTACAGATGACAAGTGACTTGTCCTGCTGTGGGGATTTGTGTTTCCATTAGCTTAATCTTATCTTTAGGTGAACAACAGTTCATCATTTTAATGCAGTTCAATTTATCTTTTTATTTTCTTTATAGTTTGCATATCTGTGTTCTGTTTAATAAATACTAACCTTTCTAAAATTTTGTTATTTTGCTAATTTGTGAGTTTTAATTGTCTCCAATAATTTTTTAATTCTTTTCAAAGAGTGAAAGTATTTAAACAAACATGAAAGAAAAATGAAAATGTGCTTTGCTGTCATTGTTGTTGTTGCTGCTGGGTGCTTGAGTATGACAGAAGGAAATGCTGCCTAGTCTAGCCCCAGCCCTACAGTTGTTGCTGTATTTGAGCCCACTGCTGCAGCCCTGGTGTCAGTCTGTCCCATTGAGAGTCCTTCTCTCTTTTTTTCTCCTACTGCCTTACCAAGCACCATATCCTTTTCTAGGAATAATCCCTCTTGATAACAAGTCCAAAGTAAATGAGACGAAGTCTACCTCCCTTCTTCTAAGCAACATTCTGTTTGCATTTTTCCAAGACAGGTTTGTTGGTTCTTCTGGTAGTCCATGGCATATTCCTCACCACTACCATCACCCATCACTTCAGTATTTCTTATTCATTGCCCCACTTTTACATACATGTTGTTATGTACCATATGACTGGCTTGTAGTGACCTCATGAACCCTGTCCTATCTTGGGTTCATACCATCCTCAGCCTCAATGACGACGACTTCTTTTCCAAGAAATGCCCCTCCTAACAATATACCCAAAGTCTATGAAGAAAAGCTTTGCCATCCTTACCTTTAATGAGCAGTTTGGCCGAACTTTCTCCAAGATATGTCTGTCTGTTCTTTTCACAATCCATGGGATATTCAGTACTCTTCTCCAGCACCAATATTCAAAGCCATTGATTCTTCTTCCATTATTTTTATTCATTGTCTAACTCTTAGATACATAGCAAGTGATTTAAAAGACCATGACCTGAATCAGGCACACCTTAGTCTTTAAACTAGCATTATTACTCCTTAGTACTTTGGAGATTATTGAACAGTATCATGAATTTTGGTTTTGTTGTTGTATACCATCGAGATGGAACCAGGGTTTTCAGAGTCATTTAATCGCATGGGAAGAGAGAGCCCATCCATCTGCCACAGAGCAGCTGGTGGATTCAAACTGTGTGCCTTCAGGATTGCAGTGCAGCTTCTTGCCACTAGGCCACCAGTGCTGTCTATTCATCCTTATTCATTGTCCAACTCTCAGATGCATAGCCAGTAATGTAAAAGACCTGTATCAGGCACACCTTAGTCTTCAAACTGACATCATTGCTACTCAATACTTTAGAGATAATCGAACAATATCATTAATGTTACATGCATGCGAAATATTGCTGAAGGTCATTAAAATATGGCTAGAACAGAACATAAATAGGGGACTGCTAGACGTTTAAGAAGAATTTAGAAGAGGCTGTGGCAGCAGGGATATCATTGCTGATTTCAGATGGATTCTGGCTGAAAGTAAAGAATACCAGAAGAATGTCTATTTGTGCTTTATGGATTATGCAAAGGTATTTGACTGTGTGGATAATAACAAATTATGGTTAACATTGAGAAGAATGGGAATCCCAAAACACTTAAGTGTGTACATGAGAACCTTACACCTAGACCAAGGGCTGTGATATGAACAGAGCAAGGGAACACTGCAGGTTTCAAAATTAAGAAAGAAGTGAGTCAGGGTTGTATCCTTTCTCTATACCTATAAAATCTGTTTGCTGAACAAATAATTTGAGAAGCTGTACTCTATGAGGAAGAATGTGATATCAGGATCAGAGGAAAAATCATCAATAACCTGTTATGCAGATGATACAACCTTACTTTCTGAAAGTGAGGAGAATTTGATACACTTTAAGCAGATGATCAAAGACTGTAGCCTTCAGTATGGATTACATCTCAGAAAACAAAAGTCCTAACCACAGGACATTATGATAGATGGAGAAATGCTTGAAGCTATCAATGATTTAATCTTGTTTGGATAAGTAATCAACACCAGTAGTCAGGAAATCAGGAGACGTATTGCATTGGGCAAGTCTGCTCTCAGGGACCTCTCTAGAATGCTGAAGAGCATTGGTGTCAGTTTGAAGCCTAAGGTGCATCCAGTTCAGGGTATGGACTTCTCAATCACCTGCTACACATTGGAGAGGTGGACAATGAATAAGAATGACGGAAGAAGATAATGCCTTTGAGTTGTAGTGCTAGGGAAGAGTACTGAGTATTCCATGGACTGTCAAGAGAACAAACATGTCTTGGAGGGAATGCAGTCAGAGTGTTCCTTTTATACTTTGGTCATGTCAATAAGCAAGACTATTCATTGGAGAGGGACATCATGCTTGGAAAGATAGGGGATGAGCGAAGGAAAGGAAAGTCTCCAATGAGATGGATTAGCATGATGACTTCAGCAGTGGGCTTGAGTGTTTCAGAGCTAATGAGGAGGATGGCATGGGATAGGGCAGCATTCAGGTTGGCTGTTCATAGGATTGTGATGAGTCATACGCTCTTTGATGACACCTAACGACACCACCACCACCACCACTTTGGAGAGGCCCCTGACAGTAGACTTTTCTAGTGCCGTGTACCTTTTGATTTCGCTCATCATTCAAAAATGGCTAGGCAAGAAGCTGCACTGCAATCTCAGGGGTATGTGGTTTGAATCCACCAGATGCTCTGCTGGAGAAGGAGGAGCAGTCTACTCCTGTACCAGCCAGATAAATTTGACGATACACACACACACAAATAATAATAATAATAATAAATTTTAAAAAGTGGCTAGAACAGTCTATTGACCGAGAACTGCCAAAAGCTCAGACTGAGTTTAGAAGAGGATGTGGCACCATCATTGCTTATGTCAGATGGATCTTAGCAGAAACCAGAGAATACTAGGAGAACATATAAGTGTGTTTTATTGACTTTGCAAAGGGACCTGACTGTGTGGATCTTAATAACCTATGGTTAACATTGAGAAGAATGGGATTCCTAGAACATGTAATAATGTTCATACAAAACTTTATACCTATACCAAAAAACTGTTTTGCAAACAAAAATTCCAGGAAGATGTGTGTCAAGAAATGTATCCTTTCTCCTTACCTGTTATATACAATACAAACTGTATGCTGAGCAGTTCACATGCATAGGAGACAATTAAAAATACTATGGCTTCAGTCAGGTATGTCCACAAAGTGATATCTTTGCTTTTAACACATTATAAAAGTCCTTTATAGCAGATTTCCTCAATGCAATGTGTCATTTGATTTTTTTTTTTTTTTACTACTCCTTCCAGATTTGTTGATGGGGATCCAAATAAATTGAATTCCTTGACCTCATCATTCGTTTTTATCATGTTATTGCTTATTTATCAACTTATGAAGATTTTTGTTTATGTTATGTTGATGTGTAATCAATACTGAAGAAGTCTTTGATCTGCATCAGTAATGGTTTGTGAACCTGAAGTCCTCTTCACTTCGAGCAAGCAAGCATATACAGAAATTTGAGACATCTGCATATTGCAGCTTCTTCCTGAGTCTTTCTCCAATCCTGATCCAGCTTTCTTCTTCGCAGAGATCACCTTCTTGGATTATTTACTCGATATATAGTTTGAGTAAATATGTGAACCAGACACATATCTTTCTTGAGTTTTAACTATATGATATATTCCACATCCTCTTCACAATCTACCTTGCACTTCTAGCTGTTTCCTGTTGACAGAGTGCTGCAGCCATTTCTAAAGTCTCTTCAGCAGAATTTTACTTGTATGTGGTACTAATGATATATGCAAATTTCCATATTTTATTATATCACCGTTTACAGTAGACACAAGTATGGAACCCAAATAGTTGGTTGGACAGGTAACTAGCTGTCTTCCAAGCTTCTTGGCATAGACAGGCGAGTGTTTCCAACATTTGGAGACATCCTGCTTGGTAATCTGTTAGTTCCTGGAGCTTGTTTCTTGCCACTGCCTTCAGTGTGGGTTAGTCTTCTTCCTTCAGTATCATTTCTTGTTGATCTCATGCTGCTTTCCAAAATGGTTGAATACCAACCAGTTCTGTTGCTGTAGTCACTCTGTATATTCCATCCATCCTCTTTTGATGCTTCCTGCATCATCCAGTATGTTGTCCATAGAATCCTTAAAGATTATAAATTGAGGCTTGCAGGGTTTTTTGTCTTCAGTTCATTTCACTCGAGGAATGCTAAGTGCCTTCTTCTCTTTTGGTTTCCACTGCAGGTGATTACACATTCCATTAGAATAATTTATCTTCTCAGACCTCCCTTTGAAAATCTTCTGCTCAACCTTTTACGTCATCATTTCTTCCATTCACTTTAGTTACTCTGCATTTCAGAGCAAGTTTCAGTCTTTTCTGACCTGCATGTTGGTCTTTTCTTTCTTTTCAGTCACAGTTTTGCCTGCTTCATGTATAATGTTCTTGATGTCTTACCACAGCTTGTTTGTTCTCCAGTTATTGATGTTCAGTGCATCAAACCTGTACTTGAAAGTACCTCTACATTTAGATAAGGTGTACTCAAAATCAGCCTGCAAAGTAAGTTTTACTCTATGATTTCAGGTGTAGAATTATTCTGTAGAGGACAGAAAGTGCAGAGCACCTGCCCTGTCCACAAATGTCTTGTCCACTTCTTTCTATCTCCAGCAGCAGCAGCATCATACATTCTCCACATCTGGAACAATGTGTACCTAACTTTCATCATAAGTTGTCTCCTTGTTTTCATCATAAATCAAACCAACAAACTATTGCCAACAGGGAACTCTGATTTAGGGAGACTCTCCATCAGCTTTCGGAGGGTATAAATCTTTACTAAGGAGACTGCCTCAAAGTGAGTGGTGGATTCAGACTGCTAGAAGCCCGACACATTATAAACTACACAACCAGGGATCCTTTCACCATAGCCTCCTTTAATCTGCAGTTTTAAAAATGGAAATCAGGCCACTCAGCTCCCAAACCTAAAACTCTCCTGCCTTTGCACAGAGGATGTAATCTACACTCTCCCTTGCCTTCCAGCATTATGGGCCTTACTTTCTTCTCTGACCTCATCTCGTTTAGTGGTCACTCCATCACTGCACACTGTTAGTATTAACCTCTTCTCTCACGTTTCTGTTGGTCCAGCCTCTTTGCTCTGTTAGTGCTCCTCCCTTGGTTTCCTGTGCCCCTGTTCCTTCAAGTGGCTCATTCTCCTCCTCCTGTATGCTTCAGCTTCCATTTCCATGAGACCTTCCTCAGTCGATCACCTTGTTTCCACCCCACCTGGCATCATCACAATTACATTTATTCTATTCCGCCATTCACAATAATTTGTAATTACTTGATTTATTCATTTCTTTCCTGATTCATTAGCTGCCTTCCTTACTAGAATATCAGTTCAATTAGTGCAATGGCTTTGATCTTCACTGGTATATTTCCTGTACCGAACAACTCCTGGTACATAATGACATTTCCTTCAGTTTTTGTAAATAAGTAAAGTTTTAGAGCCTGCAATAATTTGGAAACTAACAAAGAAATGCTACTCACTCACGCCGTGCCCCTTTGACTGAAAATATGCTTGGGCGTATCTCATTTTCTTGTAAATTCTAAAAGCCAATTTAATTGATGGAAATTCATTTAAACTTGGGCCCAAATTAGAATATGTACATATATCTTCTATAGGATTTCTAGTGGGTTCTGGCTTCTGACTACCTATAGGTTCCCATTTTAGCACAGCAAAGCCCAGGGTATATAGGTGGTATCTACTGACTGAGTTAATTCCTTAGTTCTGGTATCTTAGTGCTCAACAAAGGAGACCTGGTGTTTAAGCACTTGGCTACTAACCTCAGGGAACCCATCATCTGCTCCACAGGAGAAAGATGTGGTAATCTGCTTCTGTAAAGATCACAGCCTTGGATACACCAGGAGCAGTTGACTTGATGTTAGTGTGTTTTTTTGGTCTGACTTCTAAACAGTGACATTCACTGTATGTGTGGTGCTGCACGCCCCAGTTATTGAAAGCCTTTCATATTCCCCTTTGTCTTTGGTTACTCTACCTGTGTAATGAACTTGCCATTGTTACTCAAGCAGATTTCTTTTTCCTTTGCAGACCTTCACAAATCCTTATTATGGGGTAAATCTGGTGGTGTCATACACAATCATGATGGCCATGGGCGTCTGGGCATTCTTTGTGGCTGGAGGCTCCTGCAGAACCTTGAAGCTCTGTCTGCTCTGCCAGGACAAGGACTTCCTTCTTTTCAACCAGCGCTCCAGATAACCTCTGGGAGGCATCCCACCTGGGCAGCACACTGCATCTTCAAAGGAAGCAGAACTGTGCCTTTTCCTGAAAGTCCCTGTTCTTGGTAGAATCTAGAAAAAAACAGAACTGTCTGGCTGTGAGCCCCACTCACATGGCTTTCCTGCCTTCAGATATCAAATGGTATATGCATGTTGGCTGCACGTTAGCACCACTTGGGGAATTTAAGAATGCTAATTTTTGGGAGACTATCCCCAGATTGAATTGATTTGGACATCTGCTGTTCTTTAAAAGTTCTCCAAGTGATGCTGAAACACCGTCAGGCTAAGAACCACCAGTGCCCATGAGTGGAGCTTAACTGAAGCTACAAGAATCACATGCTTAGCCGCTTCCTAACTTAGGTGGACAGGTAATGTCAAATGCTGGTGAGCCTCAGTCTTTTTAAGTTCTAAAATCACAAAGGCCACAAGGCTACCATGTCTGTGATCTGCTTCTCCCTGTTCTATGAGAATGTGATGGGCTGTGATTACGTGCAATCATGAATTGCACTGCTATTTTACAGTGATGTTAAAGTAAGATATTAATTCATTAATAAGCTGTGACATTTCTTTTCATTACAGATTGTTCTTTTTGAGGCATTACATTGGTTTTGAGCATAGGTTTCATTTCTTTAACTAAAAATGATCACATTCAGATGACGATCTAAGACCAAGCTTATTTTGTGCCAAGACATCCCTCTGTTTGATATTTTCCCCATCTCTTTCCTGAGGCTGATACCTTCAATGTTTGAGGGTAGGAAACTATTTGCTGCACTAGCTGAGGTGAAGCCCAGCCCCTTACCTCAGTGATGTGCTAGGGGCTGAGTGATGTGCCTAGAGCAGGCTTCCCTGGTGGACTGTTAACCCAGAGCTGGAGAAAAGCCACTGGGGTAGTGTTGACACTTTTATTTTGCTCCTGTGATGCTATATTAAACAATATTTTCCCTCAAAATGGAGCAGTGTAAAATTGAAAATATATCCTAAATTGCCAAATTCATGCATTTACATAATCCATATAATCTTTAGATCTAGTAAATTTCTGTGAAGGTTTTTGTTGCAAATTCAGGAGTCCTGTTAAAGGAAAACCCATTCAGATTCTAATCAGCTTTTTTGATTTCCATTATAAAGGAGAAATGCCAGCAGTTTGTGCCTACACTAACTAGAAATTGTTCTCAGTGGACAGCTTAAGGAGGACTAATAGTATGGAATAGAAATTAGTGATGCACTAACATGATCCATCAGTGAGTCCCATACACACAGTAGATAGAGCATCCAAAAGAAGAAGAGCAGCCATGAGAGGGCTCAACAGTGACATGACAGATGCATGAATTTGGCAGTCTTGGATGTGGTAGAATGATAAGCATGTTCACAACAGAATCATGGCCAGTGTTTGGCGCCAGTTACATGTCGTCCCAAGGATCAGATCCTTATGTGTGAACTAGACCTTTAACAGTGAACAGTGTGCCCCACCCCAGTATTTAAATTATTATAATATCTTAATCTAGAGATTGAAGAGGAAAAAGGCTTCTAGTAAGGTTATAAAGTTTCCTAAATAATGATAGTTATTCTTTTAAAGTTTACTTCAGCACAAATGCCAATGTTTTCATTGGTACTTATAATTTTCTAGTTTAATACAAGTTTCTTCTTGGACTAAAATAACCAAGGACGTAGAAACTGAAGAGCGAATTTATTGTGCAGAGTTAAGGGAGATGATATACTCACTGGGTTGGAATTTATTCTTATCTGACAGTAGTATTCTTTGATTAATAGAATTTTTAAAAAATATGTATATATATATATAATATATATGTATACCTGGTTATTACTACTGGCTTACAGATGTCTTAAATAGTCTGATAAAATGACTTGATTTGGAAAACATAGAACATTTAATAATATTAATATTACTGGCACATCTGAGCTCTGTACAGGAAAAGGTTAATATTAAGAAACTAGGATATTGCAAAAGCTCATTTATAAAACTTACTGAAATGAGGAGAAAACTTGCTTTGATGGTAAGATGCTCTGCTCCAGGAAAGCATCTGATCACCAGTGTTTGCCCACCAGCGTACACGTGCCTTTGTAATGTGCAGGTTCTCCAAGAGAGTGGGCATCGTGGTCCACTCTGCACTGTTGTTTCACGTAGCCTCGCGTGGCCTCAGGCCGAGGAGCTCAGCGAGAGAGAGGGTTGCCGTGTTAAAATGTGTATTAAATGCCACCCCTCCCTTTTTGGCCTTCATTGTCTGTGGTGAACTTTCCAGCTCTCCTGGTATTTTGGTGAAGAGAAGATGTTGGTGACGTGTTTTCTTCTCCAGAGCAGATTTTCTGTGTTTCAAGGAAAATGTAGAGCGAGTACAAGGTGCTGGTGGGTTTGTGAGAATTGGAGTGCTCACGTGCGTTATCATGTGAATGACAGAGGTCCATTTCATTGTTCTCATGTAAAAGCTGTATTTCTTTCTTTCTCTGTATTTATTAATTTCAAAGCCTCGTCGTAACTGGAGCAGTTGTGTTACCTTGAGCCTTCCTGACTGGTAGCATAGCAGCAGCGTTCTCTTCAGAGCCCCTTAGTGAAAATGATGGCCGGGAAGAATTAAAGATGGTGCGACAGACCACACAGGAACCGGCTTTGTTCCCGATGTGAACACATTTCTTCTCACGCACATCTTCATGCTTGCTCAGAATGGCAGATTTGTGCCTGAGGCACTCAACTTTCTTCTCCAAAGGGTTGAAGCTGTGAGTGCTGCTGGCCCTACAAGCGTCTGTGGGCCAGTGCTCTTCCGCATAGGGGATTAGAAGTCAGTGTGGACCTGCGGGCATGAGTGAAGCCTCGCTGGCTGGCCAGCAAAAATGGCAGCCTGTCTTGGACATCAGCAGCCCGTCTCTCTTGGAAAAGCCCCTGGAGAGAGTTGCTGGGAGTTAGTTAGCCCTGGTTTTCTCAAACGTAACTCTAGACAAACAGATAGATGCCGTAATGAAACAATGTTACAGTGCTTGTTTAAAATATTTATGATTTCAATGTATGCATTTCACATTAGTAATTAATTATATAATGGTGATTATTTTATGATAATTTTAAGAAATAATTTTATTAGAATTTAGTGTTTAGAGAGGTGAGTACTCTATGTGAAATGCATAATATTTATATAAGTTATACTTTATGGCCCACATCTTCACAGTGTCGGACCTCACATTCGATAACATAATGTAGACCTGTACTTTCTAAGTGAACAATAAAGACTGTCACTCCTCATTCCGGTGTTTCGTTTCATCTTTGGAGTACGTATCCTTTAGTCTCTCCTACCACTACAGTTTTTGTCTCATAAAAATTGTACATTTTGTTTGTTCTGATTGGTCAGTTCGGAATCATTTTTCAAAGAGAAAGCATTTCATAAATCAACTGAAGTCTATGGGGGAGAGAATAGCCTAAAAGTATTATATTTTAGGGCATTATTTTTATCGTAGGAGTATGCAATGAGGGTTGCAGAGTGGATTATATTTGGGGGTAGGGGGTG